GGAACCGAGGCGCGGTTTGTGTTTTCCCACAGGAATCGAGACGAAAACCACTGTGGGTACCGGAGAGACTGACACGGGCGACAAAGCCCTCGACTGAAGATCAGACCTGCCCTACCGGAGATCCATCACAGACCAACCAACAAGATGAATAGAAATAGCGGTAGCCCGAAATGGACAAGAAGATCCTCAGGCATATGCATGGCTCGCTCGCGTAGCCTACGACCGAGTCTAGGGGTGGTGAGCTTCCCACACTCCTCCTCTAAAAAATTATGACATAGCTGGGTAGGAGAGTCAATGACAGGTAAGAGCGTACTCCCTCGGTGCGACTCAACCTAAGCCAGGCCCTACCCCATCCTGCACGTAAGCCGCTGGACTGTTAGATGCTGCCCAGGTCTGAATTTCTCTCCGAGGGGATTTCTTTACGGAGAGGAAATGAGTGCAAGCTTGTGTGCATCCAGGTTCCGTCCAGTTTGTGCCTGGCCCTAGAAAAAGGACGAGGGCCTCAGGGCCTTGGCAGATCATGGGACGGCCGACCAGGGTCTAAGCCAAGGACCTACGGTGGGCCTACGCATAGGGCATAAGCCTCTGCACCCAGTCCAGGAAGGGCTACGATGCGCACATTTATAAAAAAAATAAAAAAGGGGGAGATGTTGGGAGCCGCAGCCCCGAGCCCGGTCGCCTCACTTGGCGGACGTGAGGCCTGTAGTAAAGAGTAAAGCCTGAGGTAGATTACCCCTCCCATCGAGCACGTTAGTTTCCTGCTTACCGCGTAAGCAACCCGCTCAACAATATAGTCTGCCTGGCAACTGATGATGTTAGCCAATCAGCTTGCCTTGCTTACTTTAACATGATTGGACACTGTATCCGTATATATACTGGTGCCACCCCTGGGGGGGAAGAAGAAGCCCGGAAGTAGAAGCCCAGAAGGAGCCGCGGGGAGCGGACCAAAGGAGGCTTCGGCTGGGAGCGATCCCAGGGCAGGCTGTACGGAGAAGGAAAATAAAACAAAAGGTTGTCCACTGCCAGGCTTTGTCGTGTGTCCTTCCTGCCGGCCGGGAGCGGACATCGACAACAAGACTAGGACATTGGGTTCAGACTAAATGGAGTCCCTTCTGGCTCCCTATGGGCATGCAGCATTCCCTTGAGCAGTCGTGACAAAGGTGGGAGACGAAAGAGGAGCCATGTGCTCAACTCTGGCTGCTCCCTGGCAGGGACTAAGGTCCATCTTGGTAAGATGCACACTGTGATCCTGGTCTAGGCAGAGGCCCCTACTGCCCCTATTGTGAGTCACTAATCATGAAACCACAGAACCCCAGAATCTGACCTAGGCACACGCTGTAGCTGTGGGGTGGCACAGACAGGGCAGTCTATGGCTTACACTGCCCTTTCACATTCACTCCCTCATTCCTCCGACAGCCGCTTGGAGGTCAGACATTTCCTCTCTGGGAATCCTGACTGCTGAATGGTGATCAGGCTATGCTTCCCTTGAGTTGAGTAGGCCTGCACTGCCTTAGGACTCCTCTGGGAGTCCCCAGGTGCCTAGACCAAACCTATGTCCTCTCCCCTTCTGGTTCCAGAGAACCAGAAGTGGTGAGCCAGGCTCCAAGACACCTCTGGGGGTGTGCCTGCCAGTGGGGAGAGCACTCTTCCAAGAGAGCTTTGACTGGTGACCTAAGTAGTCAGCATGGTCAGTTCCTGGTCAGGGAACCAAATTGAGGTCTGCAAGTGAATGCCCGGCTTTGTTGACCCTGTGGTCCCTCCCAGAATCAGGCCCTGAATTCTCAGTGTGCAGGGTTTTTATAGGGTTTGTAAGCAAGCAGGAAGTACAGAAGCAGAGCTCTTGTTAGTGACAGAGCAGAAAGTTTCATTACGTTCCACCTTCTTTGCCTATGTGGAGTCAGTGGGAATCAGGTGACTCCTCAAAGGTTACCTTCTGGTTTCATCTACCTCACACATGGTAGGAAGTGGGGTGTAGCATTCTGGGAAACAGAAACTGGAAAAAAGAAAGGTTTAACACAGGGCAGGGGCCCTCACAGGGCGAGTTTTTTTCTGCTTTTGTAGCACAGGCTTGGTGGCTGTGGCAAAGAAAAAGCACTTGAGGCCAGGAAAGGCAAGGAGTGCGACTCTCAAAAGCAAAAAACCTGTGGTGATGGCACAAGCCTGTAATCATAGCACTCAGAAGGCTGATGCAGGAGGACTGTGGCCAGTTTTGAGGCCAGGCTGGACCACACAGGAAGTGAGACTCTATCTCCACCCACCACACAAGACCCTTAGTGCCCAGCTGTGAATCCAGCACAGGAAGAGACCACACCAGGAGGCTTGCAAACTTATGCCCAGCCTGGGCAATTTAGTGAAACCCTACCTCAAAAGATGAAAAGTGCTGGGCTCGGGGTGCTGTTCTAGGTTCTACACCCAACGCCAAGAGGAAAAACAGTGGGTCCGCGGGGTGCCCTGCAGCCTGGGACAAGTGCTCCCAGACTGAGCTGTGTGCTTCCTCAGCCTGCAGCTCTGAGGCTGTCAGTGCAAAAGGCCCCAGGGGGAGGATCAGCCGCAGATCTTTACTGGAGCAGAAAACATGAACCAGCAGCCCCTGCAGAAACAGGACAGTGCTGACTGTCCCCAAAAGATGTGGTTACAGAGCTGGCTTCTGCTGCCAGCCCTGTCCCATGAGCTACCCTCTCAAGACCACAGCCATGTCTTGTTCTCATGATGCTTCCATCATGAGATGCTGACACATCTTCTGAGTTAGGGTTGTCACCCTCATGGTGGTGGATGCCACGAGAGGTGTGGCTGCATCTTAGCCTCCTGGTCTCAAAGCACAGGGCAGTATCTGTGAGGTCAACTTAACTGAGTCAGCATGGTGCTGAGTATGGATGGCCCAGCTGAGGAAAGTTGCCAGCAAAAAAGGAGACCTGGAGAGGTATAGTAGTACTGTGGGTTCTCCTAAGTGGTGTTGTTTGGAGCTGTTAGTTCCCCTGGAGGAGCCTGTCATGCTGGCTTCCCTGATAGGAACTCAGCTGTTATCACTGGAGGTGCTGGGGGCCTTGTTGCTGAGAGTGGCTGGGGTTCACTTTGGGGAAGTTCTGCTCCTTACTTTGAACATCGCTTCCTGGCTCCAGAGGGGAAGGTGTGTGCTATTCAATCTCCAGGAGAAGCTTGTCATGCTGGCTTGCTGACTTATCAGCTGTTCTCACTATTGGAGGAGCTCAGGACTTCATTGTTGCTGAGGATGGCTGTGGTACTTTTTGGGGCAGCCTTGGACCTTAAGTGTTGTTTCTTGGCTCCAGTGCAGATCTCTCCAACTGCTGGCACAGCTCATTCATCCCACTGGCATAGACCTTCTAGCTTTTACTGCTGACCTTTGGGTCTTCATAGTACAAATCCCTGGGATATACTTGCATGGGTCATTGCTGTGGGCTCTAGGTTTTCAGCTGAAGTCATGCAGGTTACTGCCATGGGATCCAGGCCCTCAACTGGATTTTCTAGGTCTTTAGTGTTGTGGACAGATTTCCTGCATTTCTTGTATTTAACTCGGTGACCATCATAATACTATTGATTATGTGCCTTGTATATACTTGATCCCCTTGAAACCCCTGACTGCAACACTGTTCATGACACAGAAGTCTAACTTGAAACCCCAGTTGAGCAAAACATTAACCCCCAAAGATTCTACTCTTCTCAAGAGTAAACTTTTTTCTGTACCAGGAATGGAACTCAGGACCTTGTACTTGCCAGGCAGGCACTATATTGCTGAGCTATATCCTTGGCACCAGACTTGGTTTTAAAAATCGTATTTACTATATTTTAAGTTTCACCCCTGGGGCTGGAACCCAGGGCCTGGCAGGTGTTAGACAAGTGCCCCACCTCAGCTGATGTATTTTACTTGGGAGACAGGGCCTTGCTAAGTTACTCAGGCTGATCTCAAACTTGCCATCTTCCTGCCTCAGACTCAAAGAATGGGGAGCAAAGGTGCCATTGCACATGGCTGAATTCGAACAATAAAAACCTTACAAACGTTTCTTTTGGTTATGTCATTGCCTGGATAAGATTCCCCAATCTTGCTTATTGGCCTGCAGAGTTTAAAATATTTGCAGTATGGCCCACCTGGTGGAGACTTTTGTAGCAACAACAAAATTAACAGGGAAGGTGGATGTGGCAACGCATTCCGGTAATTACAGCACTGGGAAGGCTGCGGCAGAATTGTGAGTTCCAGACCAACCTGGGCTACAAAGTGAGACCAAGGCCAGACTGAACCGCATAGTGAGACCCTGTCTCAAAAAGACAAAAGAAAAAAATTTTAGCGGGGTGTGGTGATCCTAGCACTCTGGGAAACTGAAGCAAGAAGACTGCAAGTTTACCTATAGTTTTTCTTTTTTGCTGGGGGTCTTATTTGTAAGATCCTTTTTTTGTACCAGAACTTGAACTCAGGACTTTGTGCTTGCTAGGCAGGCGCTGTGCCACTAAGCTACATTCCAGGACCAAGACTGCAAATTTGATCCTAGCCTGGACAACTTAGCAAAACCCTGTCTGAAAAATACAAAACAGAGTGGGTATGGCGCTAAGGAAACTCCTAAATTCAATCCCCAGTACCAGGAAAAAAAAAAAAAAATCTAAGCCACCTGTGCCTCAGGTGCATAAAAGCTTGCCAAGCTCAGCCAACCACGGTGACAGTGAGCACCTGGGAACTCAAACCGTAAACCCGGTTCCGCCTCTTTCTGCATCCCCTAGCCCAAGGCTTGAAACAAGCCTCACCTCGCGGACTTAACACATTTTCAGGAAAGAAACAGACGCCTGGCAGCAACGCCCCGGCTCCTGACCCCCAAAGACCGGGAGCGCAGTCCCTACGCTCCGAGACGCATTATCCCGTTGGGGTCCAGGCGGCCAGCATAGCCGCCAGCTCTGCGCCTGCACAACACTCGCTGTTTCCCCCGCTCCAAACCCTGTGCAATCCCTCAGCCCCGCGCTTTCTGACCTCACTTCCCCGGTTTCCAGGCGACGGCCGTAAGTGGCGGGCGGAAGTTGGCGTTTAGCTTGCCGTAAATTGTTTTTTCACGTCACTTCCGGCCGGCTTCCGTAGACGGCGCTGGTTCGCGGTCGTGAGGCGCGGGCGGTCGTTCTCCGCGGCCGGAGCCATGGAGATGCCGCTGCCCCCTGACGGTGAGGCCTAGCCCGCATCAGTGTCCGTTGCTCTCTCCTCGGACTCCCCGTCGGCCTGCCCTGTCTTCCCTGAGTCCCCAGGCCGGGGCGGGGGCCTCCACCAGGGCCGCGTCGGCGGGCGTGTGGCCGCCGTTGGGCCCCGCGCGGAGCCGGACTGGGCCCCGGGGCCCAGCGACATCGGCGCTAATGCCCCGCGCGGCCTGCTCTCCGTCCTGCAGATCAGGAGCTCCGCAATGTCATCGACAAGCTGGCCCAGTTCGTGGCGCGCAATGGGCCCGAGTTCGAAAAGATGACGATGGAGAAGCAGAAGGACAACCCCAAGTTCTCCTTCCTGTTCGGGGGCGAGTTCTACAGCTACTACAAGTGCAAGTTGGCGCTGGAGCAGCAGCAGCGTGAGTGCGCGTGCGGGCCGGCGTCGCTCAGACCGGGGTCATGAAGCGTTGCCCCGCGCCCGGGCCTGGGAAGCGGCGCGCCTTGGGAAGCGGCGCGCGGGCGCTGGATGGCGATCACGGGGTGGGGGGTGACGGGCCTCGGGACGGCTGCATCCCAATTTACGTTTATCTGGGGTAAGCGTGGTACACCCCCAAGTCAAGTGACCCTAAAAGGGGAGAGTTCCTGAGCATGGTGGCTGAGTCCGACTGTCGCGAGTTGCATTCTAGCCTGGGTAATGCAGTGACTTAGTGACAACCTGTCTCATAAGAGGCTGGGGCCGACTCAGCGTGAAAGGCCTATGCTCCATGTTCAGCACAGGCAGGAAGAGGATGTCGACCCTGGGTTGTTGCTGTTTGAAGCTGGACAGGCCTTGATTGGGTCATTTCTGTGCCAGCACAGCAAACTTAAAAGGGATAAGAGGGTTTGCAGCGTGGGCCTCGGCAGGTTGAGTGGTCCCAGGGTGTGGACGGGGTGCAGGCGGGGTGGGGAAGAGTCCTGGGCTTGGAGCACTTCTGCATATCGCCCAGAGCTGCTCCATCCACACACACAGCCCCAGCCACCCTCCTGTCCCTGCCCGGGCCTCAGTGCCCTCATGGTAGTAGGTGTCTGAGCAGAGTGGACGGGGATTGGGACCTTGGCCAGGACCTCTAGAGCAGCTGGAGTCCCAGCAAGAAGGAAGGAGAAAGGGTGTGAAGTTCGGGCTTTGCTGGCAGTTCAATTTAGGGTGGAAAGGGACAGACTTGACACAGCTTGCAGACCCCATGGTAAGCACCAGCTGGGGGCTCCTGAGGTTTACAAACCATTTTTATTTTTATATTTTTTGGTACTGTGGATCGAACTCTTGACCTTACACTTGCAGGCAGGCACTTAGGCCACTGAGCTAAATCCCTGGACCCTTCCACTGGGGTTTAACATTCCAATCTGCCCTGAATTTACTGCTCACCTTCTCTTGGTGTAGTTGCCTGTTGCCTGGGTTCACCCCGACTACCTGGCATGGGAGCAGCAGGGCCTGAGATGGAGTTCATTCCCAGGGTGACACAGGCGACACCAGGGAGTGTCACCCCGGTCTCGGTTTGCAGCCTGGAACTGCAGAGGGGCTCAGGGCTGGAAACGGTGGCATGGTTGTTCCCTTAAGGGCAGTGAACAGAGGAGTGATGGGGAGGTCTTGGGCCAGGCCAAGCAGTCAGGCTATGGGGATGAGTAACTGCAGGGAAGGGGACAGTCCTTGCAGAGATCAAGGAGACAAATTTGAGAACAGACTCGGGATTGCTTCCTGGCGTGACATCCAAGGCAGGGGTTGGCACTAAGCTATGGTGCCTGGCTGTCTTTGTCTCTGGTGCTCAGGAGGAGTGTGTCCCAGGGCTACTTCCTGAAGCCACCCTCTGTTTTGTGGCTGCACATGTGCTACACTCTGCCCCCCATCTTTGCTGCATGGTGCACGCCACATGGCAGGGGGCAGAGAGGACAATGGAGACCTGGGACCAGGGAGAATAAAGCCAGGGGCTGTGTGGGAGGCCAGGCCTGGGCCTCCGGCTCTGTAGGGGAGCAGGGGACCCTGCATCCTGTGCACCCTCACGTGTCCTGTCCCCTTGCCAGTCATCTGCAAGCAGCAGGCGCCTGAGCTGGAGCCCCCTGCCACCCTGCCACCTTTGCCTCAACCTCCACTGGCACCTGCTGCGCCCATTCCGCCACCCCAAGGTACCCCATCCATGGACGAGCTCATCCAGCAGAGCCAGTGGACCCTGCAGCAACAAGAGCAGCACCTGCTGGCCCTCAGACAGGTGCGGCCCAGGACAGCACACAGCCTGCTCACCCTGTAGTCCCCTGAGTTTGGCATTCAAGCAGAGCCCTGGTCGGGCGGCCCTCCCTGCCCCTCTGCCCTGCTCCGAATCCTTCCTAAGACTCCTGGTGGCAGCCTGTCACAGTCCCCTTCACCCCCAGGAGCAGGTGACAGCGGCTGTGGCCCATGCCGTGGAGCAGCAGATGCAGAAGCTGCTGGAGGAGACACAGCTGGACATGAACGAGTTCGACAACCTGCTGCAGCCCATCATCGACACGTGTACCAAGGATGCCATCTCGGTGAGCGTCGACTCCCCGAGTGCCTGCTACAGCCCCATGGGCTGGCCTGCCTGCTCACCTGCCTGCCCTGCAGGCCGGGAAGAACTGGATGTTCAGCAATGCCAAGTCCCCACCACACTGTGAGTTGATGGCTGGGCACCTGCGCAACCGCATCACGGCTGATGGCGCACACTTCGAGCTGCGGCTGCACCTCATCTACCTGATCAACGACGTGTTGCATCACTGGTGAGTGGCCAGGCCCCTTGCTGTTGCCTCCTGGGGTCCTCATGCCTACCCACCCAGAGGACCTCAGCTCTTGGGGTCTCCCGAGTCTGGGGTGGATGCTGTGGCTGCTGGGCGGAGGTCAGGAGCGTAGAGGCCCGGGCGTGTGGGGTGACGTAGGGGGCTGGGGACCCCAGAAAATCATGGTCCCAGCTGCCACCTTGCTCCCTGTGGCTTGGTGTGTATGGGGACAGCCAGTGAGCGGCACGGGGACACTGGGGGCAGAGGGGCAGAGCTCTGGTCTGGGTGCCCTTGCCCGGGGCTGGGACGCCGCTCTCCCACGTAGCCCCGCCTGGACCGCTGCCCTGGCCTCGCCTTGGGGCTGGAGCTGCTTCTGCTGGGACCTCTCGGGGACACCCACACCGCTGCACTGCTGTTCCTGCCAGGCTGGGGCTGCTTGGTGGCCTTCAGTTGCCCAGCCCTTCCCCCTCCCAGCAGCTTCTGCTTTGTGCTTAGCCGGTGCAGAGCACTTTGCCCACCCTCTCCTGCGCTTCCTACCCTCACCCTGGCCGCCACCCTGGGTTGGGGCGGGGCAGGGTGGGCTGCTCCTGCCCACCGGGCGCCAGGCCGGGCTGGGGTCCGAGTGGCTGGAGCTGTGGTGGTAACGGGCGCGTGGCCGGGTCCCGCCCCAGGGCCCTGACGCGCGGAAAGTCTCTCCCTCACAGCCAGCGCAAGCAGGCGCGGGAGCTGCTGGCCGCGTTGCAGAAGGTGGTGGTGCCCATCTACTGCACCAGCTTCCTGGCTGTGGAGGAGGATAAGCAGCAGAAGATTGCGAGGGTACGGCAGGTGCACAGGCAGCTGGGTGGGGCCAGGGCCGGGGCTAGAGCAGCGTTCTGATACTCTGTCCCTCTGCAGCTCCTGCAGCTCTGGGAGAAGAATGGCTACTTTGATGATTCCATCATCCAGCAGCTGCAGAGCCCGGCCCTGGGTCTTGGCCAGTACCAAGTGAGTCCTGTGTTGGAGTACTGTGGAGGTCCCTACCAGGGCAGCCTGGGCCCTGCACCCCATGTTTTCTCTGTCTGTCACTCACCAGTCTGGTCTTAGGTTGGGGTTGCAGTACCCTGCTCCCCACCTCCCATCCTCTTCTGAGCCACATAATAGGCCCCAGAGGCCCCAGAGGCCACAGAAGTGGGCCTGGCACTGTCCTCTCTCAGGAGGGCCTCAGGCTGCAGGGAACCCAGGGCTTTGCCAGAAGCATGCAGAAGCTAGTTGCCTGGCCCAGCCAGTGTCCTCAGGTATCACCTGCAACACTGGCTTCTCACTTTGCAGCCCAGGGAGGCTACTAGGGCCTCACAGATGTTAGGCAACCACTCCCCTCCCAGCCACGTCCCCGGACCCATGGCGGTAATAGTGGGCAGGCTGCATGGCACTGGTCAGGCCCTGGATGTGAGTGGGTCCTGAGCACCTTATCCCTTTGCGCCAGGCCACCCTGATTAGCGAGTACTCAGCAGTGGTACAGCCTGTGCAGCTGGCCTTCCAGCAGCAGATCCAGACGCTCAAGACACAGCATGAGGAGTTTGTCAGCAGCCTGGCCCAGCAGCAGCAGCAACAGCAACAACAGCAGCAGCAACAGCAACAGCAGCAGCAGCAGCAGCAGCTGCCCCAGTTGGAGGCTGAGGTCAAGGCCACCCCACCACCTCCTGCACCACCCCCGGCTCCCACGCCTACCCCGGCCATCCCGCCTACTACCCAGCCTGGTAGGAGAGCTTCACTGCTGCCCCTGTGGGGTCTGTCCCCACCCTAGTGGAGGGCACACCTCTGTCCTGCACAGTGTCCGGCAGACAGGGTGGGGACAGCCACGCACTGAGTTCAGAACTGAGGTGACTCAGGGAGACAGGGTGGGACATAGGGACCAGAACCTCAGTCAGACCCGGCATTACACTCCTGTGGGCCCTGGGCTCCGGAGACTGAGGCAGGAGGCAGGAGGACTGCTACAAGTTCAAAACTAGCCTGGCCACATAGTAAGATGCTTTCTTCAAAAGACCTAAGCAAAGTGCCGTGCCTTAGGGCTTGGTGTGCAACTTGGGCCGAGCTCGGGGCTCTGCAGAGCCCAAGATAAATTAGCAGAGCACAGGCCAGGCACCCGCTCCTGGAGTCAGAAGTCTAGGGTTTCCAACAGTGAAGAAAACCAGACAGCCTTCCAGTCGCGGCTCTTGGGTTTATGGATTAGGGATACTGAGTAAAATCTTAGCAAATACCCGACACTCCACAAGCCTGAGGTCTCAGGCTCAGGCCCTGCATTCTGGATGAGGGACATGGAACTCATGCTGGAAACAGACTGTGTGGGACGGGACCTCGAGGGCTCGGGTGCTGAGCACTGAAGTCTACTCCAAGCCTGTGTGAGGTAGCACAGCTCAGGAGGCTGAGGTGGAAGGGTCTCTGGGCCTGGGAGCTTGAGGCCAGCTGGGGCAGCACAGCGAGACCGGCTCAAGAACTCAGTATTCAGGGCTAGAGGCGTGACTCAGCAGCCCAGCACATGGTCCACAGGGACAGGAGGCCTGGTGCTGCCCACAGAAGGATCCCCCAAGGGAACTGAGCTGTTTGGGTGGTTGTGTTCTGTTTTTGAAACCATCTCAAACCCAGAGTGGCCTTGAACGTGCCATGTAGCCCACACTGGTCTCACTCATGGCCCTCCTACCTCAGCCTCCCAGCTGCAAACTCTTGGTACCAGGGATTAAACTCATGACCTTGCGCTTGCCAGGCAAACACTCATGCTACTGAGCTAAATCCCCTGCCCCTTCCAGCTGTAAACTTTGAAGTAGAAAAATCATTCACTAGTTTCTTAAACCTTGGTGCTGCAGAAATTTCCTCCACAAAGTGGAATCAGGGTTGCTGGGTGTGGTGCATGTTGGGAAGCATTCAGACAGGTGCGGTTGGTTGTTGGGGTCAGGGGCCCTGGGTCCCCTCCTGGGAAAGGTGGGGGTCGAGGCAGAGTTCCTGTGGGAGTCGCTCCTCCTCCACTGCCCAGGCCCTGACCATGTCTCCCTGGGGTCAGATGACAGCAAGCCACCCATCCAGATGCCCAGTTCCTCGGAGTATGATGCCTCAGGGGGTGTACAGGACCCCGCCGCCGCCGGGCCTCGGGGCCCTGGGCCCCATGACCAGATCCCACCTGGCAAGCCCCCTTGGTTTGACCAGCCACACCCTGTCGCCCCTTGGGGCCAACAGCAGGTATCCCTGGGAGCTGGGGTTAGAGGGCACAGCTGGGCACGGGAGGGCTCTGTCTCATCTCACTGACGGAGTAACCAGGGGTGGCAGCAGGGGACCCTGGTCCCAAGGTGTGGCAGGCGAGTGTCAGGCGAGTGTCACTGACAGGAGCTGCTGTCTGGGTTTAGGGGGCAGGGGTGGCGGGGACCCTCCATTCCAGCTGACCCCTCCCCGGCCATGCCCTGCAGCCTCCCGAGCAGCCACCGTACCCACACCACCAGGGCGGCCCACCCCACTGCCCACCCTGGAACAACAGCCACGAGGGCATGTGGGCCGAGCAGCGCGGTGACCCCGGCTGGAATGGCCAGCGTGACGCACCCTGGAACAACCAGCCAGACCCCAACTGGAACAGCCAGTTCGAGGGCCCCTGGAATAGCCAGCATGAGCAGCCACCCTGGGGCGCCGGGCAACGTGAGCCGCCCTTCCGCATGCAGCGGCCACCGCCCTTCCGAGGCCCCTTCCCACCGCACCAGCAGCACCCGCAGTTCAGCCAGCCTCCGCACCCCCACGGCTTCAACCGCTTTCCGCCGCGCTTCATGCAGGACGACTTCCCGCCAAGGCATCCCTTCGAGCGGCCCCCCTACCCACACCGCTTCGATTACCCACAGGGCGACTTCCCAGCTGGTGAGTGCCGTGCTGCTGGCAGAAGGGAGGGAGAGAGGGAGGCCCAGGGCCTCTGTCCCCCACCCCCGATACTGTGTCTCCTGCAGAAATGGGGCCTCCACATCACCACCCCGGCCATCGCATGCCTCATCCTGGGATCAACGAGCACCCTCCCTGGGCTGGGCCCCAGCACCCTGACTTCGGCCCACCCCCCCATGGCTTCAATGGGCAGCCCCCGCATATGCGGCGCCAGGGCCCTCCACATGTCAACCACGACGACCCCAGCCTGGTGCCCAACGTGCCCTACTTTGATCTGCCCGCTGGGCTCATGGCACCACTCGTGAAGGTGGGGGTGGGGCCAGGTGGGTGGATGGGAAGGGGGGCCAGCCGAGGGCTATGGTGACGGTGGCGGTGGCCTCGCAGCTGGAGGACCATGAGTACAAGCCGCTGGACCCCAAGGACATCCGCCTCCCGCCGCCCATGCCGCCCAGCGAGCGGCTCCTGGCCGCAGTGGAGGCCTTCTACAGTCCACCATCCCACGACCGGCCCCGCAACAGGTGCCAGGAGGGCCAGGCCACCCGGGGGGGGGAGGGGGAACAGGGCTGACTGCCATGCTCACCCTCATGTCATTGTCACTGCCCGCTGCCACTGGCTGCTGCAGCGAGGGCTGGGAGCAGAACGGCCTCTATGAGTTCTTCCGGGCCAAGATGCGTGCACGGCGGCGGAGGGGCCAGGAGAAGCGGAACAGGTGGGGGCCCGGGCGGGCGGGGCCCTTGCCTCTTTCTCCCTTCCCCTTTTGCTCTCTCCCCTCACAGCATCCCACATCCCCTCTCTCCGCCTCCCCGCAGTGGCCCCTCCAGGTCCCGGAGCAGATCGAAGAGCCGGGGTCGCTCCTCCTCCCGCTCAAACTCCCGCTCCTCCAAGTCCTCGGGTTCCTATTCACGCTCCAGGTCGCGCTCCTGCTCACGCTCTTACTCCCGCTCCAGGTCTCGGTAGGTGGAAGCCCGTGTGTCCCCCCATTACCCCCATACCCCTCCCCAACCTGCACCAACCACCACTGTCCCCATCGATACCCACAGGAGCCGCAGCAGGTCTCGCTCCTCTAGGAGCCGCTCACGCTCCCGGTCGCGGTCCAGGTCCAAGTCCTACTCGCCGGGAAGGAGGCGCCGTTCGCACTCCCACAGCCCCACGCCACCGTAAGTGCCCCTGTGCCCTGCGTCCTGAGTGCTGGCTGTGAGCCCTGTCCCTTGGGCCCGAGGGGGAGAGGGGATGGACCCAGGGTCCCACTTGTGGGGTCCAGCCCATCCCAGCACCACACTGCGTCTCCCCTCAGCTCCTCCGCAGGCCTGGGCTCCAATTCAGCACCTCCAGTCCCTGACTCAAGGCTGGGCGAGGAGAACAAGGGGCACCAGATGCTGGTGAAGATGGGTGAGTGGTGCGCCTGGGCAGCAGGTGTATGTGCGTGCATGCGTGCGTGTGTCTCTGTTCACTGTCCCCGTCTCCTCCCAGGCTGGAGCGGCTCTGGCGGCCTGGGCGCCAAGGAGCAGGGCATCCAGGACCCCATCAAGGGCGGGGATGTGCGTGACAAGTGGGACCAGTACAAGGGTGTGGGTGTGGCACTGGATGACCCCTACGAGAACTACCGGCGCAACAAGAGCTACTCCTTCATTGCACGCATGAAGGCCCGTGATGAGTGTGAGTGGGGCCGGGCTTGGGCTGGGGACTCAGAGGCAGGGGAGTACACGGGGTCCCCAGCTGACACTCTGCTGTTGCCACAGTTTCCACGTTTGGGGCCCGCAAGGAGGAGAAGGAGGACTAGCGAGGACAGGCCTGCTGGACGGACAGACTAACTGATGGACAGACGGCCAGCGGGGACATGAGCGGGCACCTTGGCCAGGTGTGGTGGGCTAAGGACTGAGGTGACATCCAGGTCCCGAAGTGCTGCCCGGCCACACCCTCTTTGTTACTTTAGATGTCGGCACCGCTGTTCACCCTACCCCTACCCTCTGTCCCGAAAAACAGGGACGTGACCCTGTGCGGCACCCAGGGACCCTGCTTGGGCGCCCATACCCCACCCCGGGATGTTCCCTGTGGTGAGACTCGCTCACGCACTCTGGCCAGAATGGGACACACATTGTTCACACTTCCTTCTGGGTTTTACTGTTTTGCCTTCCAATAAAGCCCTTTTCTAAAGCTGGATCTTGGCTGTGTGGCCCGGCGTCCCCTGGGCCAGTCATTACTGCGACCTGGGGTTCCTCTCCTCCATAGTGCCCCAGGTGTCGCTGGTGAGGCCCCGAGTCTGTCCCAGCGCTCATGACTCCTCTGCTTCCTGTGCAGCGTTCACTGTGCTCCACAGGCGAGGCCTGTGGTCCTGGATGTACTGCAGGGCACAGGGCACCATCACTGCGCCAGCACACGGCCAGCAGAGGGCACGGCTCAGTCTACACAGGCAAACGTGTCCCTGGCCCCTGGCCAGGCAAGCACAAGGCCCACACAGGACATAGTGATGCCAGGGTCGCTGTCAGCAGTGGTGGGGAGACTGTGACAGGGCTCAACTACCAGACCAGATACTGGCTTCTTTACAGTGGGCTCACAGGACTTTGGGCTCTGGACTAAAAACGAGGGCCCCAGTGCTGGCTCCCAGGACCTGGAGCCTCCAGCCCAAGCACCAAGAAAAAACCAACTGGCAGGCACTCAGTGGGGGGCACTTGTGCTCTCAGATGCTTATGCGGCCAAGGCAGGATCAAGTCCAGAAGGCCTGGGAGCAGGTGCAGGGGAGTGGTGCCCGTGGTATGCCCGGCCTTGGTCCCACGCCACCAGCAAGATGGCCAGAGGTACAATGAAACGGCAGGGTATGCAGCCTGGAGACCAGGATCCCTGTCAGGGCAGTGACGCTGGGTCTTCCACTGCCCGCACCTCATGGAGTCTCAGCAATGAACTGGGGCCCTTCCTCTTTCCAAACAGGGTCCCTCCTGCCTCAGCCTCTCTGTGCACCAGTGCAGGTGTGGCCACTGTACTCAGAGCAAGACGGCTTTTAACCTGGATCAGTGGCCCACAGCTCTCGTCCCCACACTTAGGAGGTTGAGGTGGGAGGGTCACTGAGTTTGAGGCCAGCCTAGGCTACATCAAGGGCAGGCATGGACTACATCGAGAGACCCTGCCTCAAAAAACCAAAAGCCAGAGTCATTATGAAAAAACTGGAGTATTTGCATAGGAAATGGGAACCACAGCAGCAGCCTGGACCTCATGGGACCCAAGGACATGGGGCCCACACTGTCCCCAGCTGCCTGGCTCCCAGGTACTATGTGCTGTGGGCTCCTGCTCCGTGGCCAGCTAATGAAGGCCAGGTTCCCGGGAGCAGAGAGGGAGTGGGGGCAGCAACGTTTCAAGGGGCTGGGTGGCACGGGGCCGCTCACCTTCCTGGCCTCCTCTAGGCTGTGGTAGTGGAAGGCATCCCTGTCCAGCGCCTGCAACAGCGATGTATGTAGGTGGCGACTGGCCTGGATGAACTGCTGCGTCAGGTGTAGCTGCTGCCTCAGCAGGTCGTCGAGGGCCACCAGGGCTGGACTGTGGGCTGTCAGGGCTGCCCCTCCACATCACTTATTGCTTCCCGGATCCCTGCAGCCCTCCCTGCTCCGGGCCATGCCACACCGACACAGAACTGGGATACAGCAAGGGACATGGGAAGCAGGGTCCTGCTACGAAGGGGGCTCCAGGGATCTGCCTGCCTCAGTCTCCATACATGCTACTGCACTGAGTGGAAAAGCACTTCTTGAAAAAAATGCAATCAAAAATGAAAAGGCTGGGCATACCCAGCTCTCCCAAGCCCTAGCTTCCATTTCAAGCACTGAAAAAAAGGAAGAGAGAAAGCCAGGTACGGTGGCACATAGCCGTCATCTCAGCACTCAAAAGGCTGAGGCAGGAGGATTGTCTTGAGTTCAAGGTCAGACCTAGCGACATGCATGCATAAATAAATTTCTGTATAAGGATTAAAAGTCACACTGGATATGGCAGGGCACGCTTATGACCCCAGAACTCAGGAGGAGCCTGGAGGGTCACTGTGAGTCCAAGACCGGCCTGGGCTACATAGCGAGAGTGTTTAAAAAAAAAAAAAAAAGCAACTAAAAAACAGGTCAGGCTGGGGTCGTAGCCAAATAGAAGAGTGCTTAGTATGCTGAAGGCCCCAGATTCCATCCGCAGCACAAAAAGAGACTTAAAGTGTAAAGCTAGAGACCTGAGACACAGCCTTCAGAATCTGAGTACTTTGTCAGGACAGAAGATGGTTCAGTGAATTACTTTTTCTTTCCTGTTTGTTTTGCTTTCTGAGACCGGTCTCCCTATGTAGCCCAGCCTGGCTTTGAACCCTGGCTTCAAATCCTTCTGCCTTAGCCTCCCGAGTGCCCTGGAAGCCAGGCTAACTTTCCTTTGTTTCTCTCACTGTCTGTCTATCTGTCCCTCTCTCTCCTCCCAGCGCCCCGCAGGGAACTGCTCTGACCCCACATGCTGTGTCCGCAGACACAAGGCCCACCGCCTTGCACCCATGCCTGGCCTGCTGGGTCTCCCTGACTGGCGTGGATGCTTGTGGGCCCAAACTGGTACCTTCTAAGGCGTCTGTGCTGACCGTGTGCGGGACGATGGGTGCAGGGTCCACGTAGGTGCCTCCCAAGGCCAGGCCAATGGCTGCAGGAGGACCAGAGGTAAGAGCAGGCCCTGCGCCCCGCACCCAACAGCCTTGCCCAGCTGCCTCAGTTTCCCTTGCTGTTTGAGGAACCTGGGCTGAACCTGGCCCTTCCTCTGCTTCATTTTGAGACAGGGTCTTGCCAGGCTGTCTCCTGTGTCACAGGTGGGGACGGGGACCCGAAGTCCCACGTGGCATGCATGAGCTCCATCCTATCCAGGCAAGCCAAGATAGCCGGGCAGCCCAGCACTACCCTCAGCACTGTGGGCTGTGAGGTGCTGAACAGTGACCCGGCCTCCACCCCCAAAGCTAGCAGCTGCATCCCCCCCATGCAACCTGGCCGTGTGCCCAGCATCCCAAACACTACCTCAGCAGATGGTTCCACAACTTTCCAGTGTTCCAGAGCTGGAAGGCACTCAAAACACTGGCCCAGGGCCCCTCCAAGTAATGAGCTGGAGCCCACACCAGGCTCCCAGGACCCCGCAGGCCACACGCCGGGCGCCATCACAGCCACTCAGCCTAGGCCACACTTACCCTCTGTCCACAGGCTGGCAGGGGTGGCATCCAGGGTCTGCACAGCCATCTCCCTCCGTGTGACCCTTGCTCGGAGCCTGGCCTGTGGCTGCCCCGACATGGTGGGTGGCTCTGTCCCTGTGCTGCAGGACACGGTGTTCAGCATCCCATCAGGGGCCTCAGAGGACCACGATGCAGGCTCAAAGTCCGCAGAGTAGGCTGTGCTTGAGGACTCTGGCTTTGTGCTGCACACGCTGCTGCCCAGTTGCTCCACGACCTCACTCTCACTCTTGCTCTCGCTCCCGGGGGAGATGCCCCAGTCCTGAGGCCCAGAGATGGCTACATCTGGAGACCCTGAACTCTGAGGCTGAGGACTGGTAGGTGCCAGGGCTGTGAGGCTGCTGCCTGAGGAATCTTCTCCCAGTGCGCCAGCACCCTGTATGACGGCGACAGGTGCAGGAAGGTGGCCCCAGGGATGTGCAGGGAACGCCAGGCCTAGGCCAGCCAGGCTGAGTGTACCCGGGATCCCAGCATTCAGGAGGCTGAGGCGGGAGGACTACAAGCTCAATCCCAGCCCAGCAACTTAGTAACTCAGAGAGACCCTGTCGCCAAGTCAACCATGAGGAAGGGCTGGGGGCAGCAGGGTGAGAGCTGGTCTGGGTCACCTGAGGGCCTGGGATGGCTCCCATATCAGAGAAAAGCAAATGGGGGAGGAGAAAAGGAGAGGGGACAGGAATGAGGAGGGGCGGTACTTACTTTCTGTCCCGAGTTAGAGTCACTGACAGCTGCAGCCAGATCATCAAGTGACAAAATATTTACCCTAAAATCTGCAAATGAACAATGAACGAAGTTCAGACAGACTGAAGCTACATGCTGTCCTCAGGGGCCTGCACTGGGCAGCCCTTGTCCCGAGTAGGGTGCAGGGCTTCCTGCATCTGGGCAGGGGTTGGTCTGTCCTATAGACAGCTGGGCCTCTCCATGTGTTGGGCATAGAGAATATCCATAAAGTGCTGCAGCTCACTGGCTGTGAGGATGTACACCTCAGCCAAAACTCAGGAGGCTGAGGCAAGAAGGTGTCAAGTTTGGGGTCTGGCTTATGTAATGTTATGGGGTTTTTTTTTTTTTTTTTTTTTTTTTTTTTTTTGGTACTGGGGATTGGACTCATGACCTCAAGCAGGTACTTACACCACTGAGCTGGATCCCCTGCCCCTGTAGTGAAGTCTTGTCCAAATAAAATGAATACATGTATCTCTACTCAACCTGTGAGAGCTTTTCTCTTGACACTGGCCCTAAGCCGTGCAGTGCTGTGCTCCAGTGACACATGCAGGTGTCATCTGCCCACAGCTTGGTGAGAGCTCAGAGCTCCCACGCATGGGTGGTGATGGGGTCCCCAGCATCCCCACCTTACCACACGGGACCCAGCTCATCCCCATTATGCAGGTGGGGACCTGAGCCTGGGGCATTGTGGTCCAGGCAGAGGTGACAACTGAGTGTCTCATGCCCCTCAGAAGCTGCCATGGAAGCCCCAGTCATTGTCCCTCAGAAGGTGAGGGGTGGTAACTGGGGCCGGGGAAAGCAGGGACTAGAGCTCCAAGATGGGACTGGAGACCTCACAAGGGAACAAGGAGAATGGAACCCTTGCTCTCTTCACTGTGTTGGGACACGTGCAATGTCCCGGCACCTGGACCCCCTTGGCCAGCCTCTGGGACACTGGTGACACCTGTGACAGTGGGGCTGAACCCAGGGCTGTGCTGGGAGCTGCATCCCAGCCCTTTCTTATTTCCTGCTCTTCTGAGACAGAGTTTCACTAAGGTACCCAGGCTGAGTTCAAACCTGCTGTCCTTCTGCCTCAACCTTCCAGAGGGCTGGGATCACAGGTGTGCATCCTTACTGTGATCTGCAGGCTGGGCTGGAGGCTAGGGCTTGTGCGTGTTAGTGACCCAAGTACCCCTGAGCCACAGCCATGGACCTGCTTTTACTTTGCGATAGAATCTTGCTGTGTGGCTCAACTTGGCCTCAAGTTGTGATCCTTTTGCCTCAGCCTCCCCAGGAGGGGCATCACAGGTAAGTGACCTCCTTCCCAGCCACCACCCCAGCATCTGGAGTGCTGATGCCACAAAGAAAGCACATTAGCCAGCAGTCTGGTGACCACAGGGCCCTGCCTGCCTGGGGCAGCACGTCACCGTCAAGGCTGTCGCTGTCCTGGTCGTCATCACCCGTGTCTGAGGCCACCTCCTTGCCGGGCCCTGCGATGTTCCTTCTGGGGTAGGAGGCAAGCTGGCTGTGCACCTCTGTGGAGGATACTGGCTGCACCAAGGGGCTGGAGATGGGTAGCAAAGCAGCATGGGGGGTAGGGTCCCTGGGAACGTGGGTCTGAGGGACCTTGTGTAACCCTGAGAGTGGTGGGCGCCATGTTGGAGGAGGCTTCACTCTGGGAGGGATCTGCCGAGTCCAGATCTGATCCTACTTTGGTGCAAAAAAAAAAAAAAAAGAAAAAAAAAAGAAAAACTGATCAAATTCATCACAACTAAGTTCTGTGGGATGAAACAGTGCCCAAAAGTCCCAAGTACAGAGGCATACCCTGGATGAGGGTGTGGGTCACTGGGGCAGGACCTGAGGGTGCTGAATACTTGTCCCCCACTCTTCCTCTCTGCTCCTTCCTGCCACAAGCTGAGCATCCTTCCTGCGCACACATTTTTCTGCCGGCCCTGCATCAGCTGGCCACCGGCTGAACCCACTGGGAAATGTGAACCTAATAACCCTTTCTTCCCATGAGCTGTGGTTGTCAGGTATTTTCTCCCCAAAATGGAAAAGGTAGGAAAAGTGGTACTGAGAGTAGGTTACAGCTGAGATAAATAACCTGACCATATGGCTTAGAAGCCTTTGGAATTACCCACACGCAGTGTTGGGGAAGGTTTGGAGCTGCTGCCTGCAGAGGCAGCCCTAGAATACTGACAGGCATGTGGAGAGTAAAAGCCAGGCTCAGGAGGTTTTAGAAAGGGAGGAGGATTGTATTGGCAACTGGGTAGACTAAGAAGCCATGTGGAGTGTCCACCCTGTGTTCCTGGCATGAGTTTGTGTGAGGATGAATTGAAACACAGTGGATTGATGAATCTAGTAAAAGAATTTTTTTTTCTTTTTGGTACAGGGGATCGAACTCATGACTTCGTGCTTTCCAGGTAGTAGAAGAAATTTTAAGGCACCCCAGCATTCAGGATGTGGCATGGGTACTGCTGACTGCCTCTAGCCAGAACTACTGTAAGAGTCAGTAGAAAAGAGCAGAGCTGAGCTGGGCACAGTAGTGCACACCTGTGATCTTAGCACTGAAGAGGCTGAGGTAGGAAGGTAACTGAGCTAAAGACAAGCCTGAAACACATCATGTTACCCTATCTCAAAAAACAAAAACAAACAAACAAAAAAACTAAGTAGGTAGATAGATACATATAAAAGCAGATATGAATGATTTGAAAAGTGCCATTTCATCACAGAATGAGTACTGATAGGTTGAGGCCTTAGAGAATAGTGACTGCTGAAAAGATTAATGTTAGAAAGAATTCATCCTTGGACTGAGGGTTTAGCTCAGCGTAGTAAGTGCCTGCCTGGCAAGCACTTGGTCACAAATTCAATCCTGGGACCAAAGAAAAAAAAAAAAACCCACCCGGGCATTAAGGTGCCACCTGTAATCCCAGCAGTCAGGAGGCTGAGGCAGGAGGATCATGGTGAGTTCAAGACCAGCCTGGCCTGCAAAGTGAGCTCAAGGCCGGTCTGAAACCGCATAGGGAAACCCGGTCTCAAAAAACAAAAAACAAAAACAAAAACAAACAAAAAAAAAAAAAAAAAGGAAACGAAACACAAAAGCAAACCAGAGAAACCTTCTCTAAGATACTTCCCCAGTCTTCTCTGCCTGACCTTATCACTGGGGAGCCCCACACAGCTGTGTGGTCCTGCTCTGGAAGACTCCGCCGGGCTCCCCAGCACCGGCGTCTTCTCTGCTTCGCTGTCCGGAGCGCGCGGCTTCGGGGCCGATTCGTTCCCGGGAGTCTGGGGGGCCCTGTCTCGGGCGGCTGGTCCCTTGGTCTTCAGGAACCTCCTGCCCTCCCTGCCTGGCGCTGGGCTCTCAGCCGTGCAGGCCTCCAGGGTTCGCGCCTGGAAGGTCAGGGAGGCAGCGCCCCCGCCGGCCACGTCCTCTTCTCTCCGCCGGGGACCTTCGCTCGCAGTCTCGGGCTCAGACTCCGCGTCTCCCTGTGTCGTGCGCGCCTTGGCCCGGCCCAGGATCTTGGTTTCCATCTGTGCCGCCTTCATGAGTACGACGCTGGCTCGGGTCTGTGCCCCGGTGGCCCCCAGGGTGGGGGCGGGAAGCTTGGCAGATCGCAGCCCCGGTGGGGCGGAGAAGTGTTTCGCAACCGCACTTCGTTCTCGCTTTAGGAACCTGCTAGCCATGGTGGCAGCCTGGGCGGGGCGTGAGCCAAAGCCCAGGAGTCCCAGGTCCTCCATCCGGGGTTCATCCAGGGAGCTGGAGCTGAGGTCAAAGAGCCCGCTCCCAGGAAAGCTGGCTTCCCTCAGGGACGCCATCCTAGAGAGCCTGTCAGAGGGAGAACCAGGGCTGGAGGTGCGCACACGGTCCATCCACTCCGGCGGCCTGAGACCGCAGCGCCCACTTGGAGTGCAATGCAGCTGTGCCCTGCAAAACCCAGGTTGAAACTGGATTGCCATCTGTTTTGGTTGGGTCGCAGAGTGGGGCCTATTTTTTATTTTTTTCAAGACAGGGTCTGGATATGTAGTGTGAGCCAGCCTTGAACTGTGTGTAGTGTCCAGGCTGGTCTTGAACTCAAGATCCTCCTGCCTCAGCCTCCCAAGTAGTGGGATTACAGGCGTGCACTACCATAACTGCCCAACCTTGTTCATTTTTTAAAACTGTTGTAGTCTTTTGAAATCTCTATCTTTTTTTTTTTAAGCATTGTGTCATTAGTACATGTCCGTGGTGTGTCGTAATTGCAGTCACGGGATGGGGCAGTATGACATGTCCCAGCTGTGTGGCGACCCCCCATGAGGACTCATTCGCTTGTTAAAATGTTTCGGAAGTGAGCTGGGATGGGAATCCCCAGAGTCTCAGTCCTTTGTCTCCCCCTTCTTGCCTTCCTCTCCCCGGGTCTCCTCAGTCTCTGTGACCCTCACCGGGGTTAGGGGTTGGTACCCAGGGCCTGGTTACACTACAGTGATCCACACTACCAGGGGCCTTCTCTCAGGGCCCTGAGAAAGAGCTGTCCGCCTCCAGATGCTCCGTGTGCTCCGAGCGGGAGGGGCGACAGCAGCACAGACTGGGAAGCCTAGAGCCTTACCAACTCGGTGAGACCCCGTCTCAGATCAGAATTTTAAAAAGGGAGCTGGAATATAGCACAATGCAGAGGCGCTGGGTTCAACCCCCCGCACTGCAAAAATGCCTTGAAGGATAAAAAGTCAAGCGTGTGTGTGTGTGTGTGTGTGTGTGTGCGCGCGCGCGCGCCCCCGATGACTGTCGCCGACGCTAAACCAGAAAGGGCGACTCGGGCAAGAGCAGGGAGTTAGACCCGCGACAGCCGCGTTCATCCCGCGACGGAGGGAAAGCTCCGCGGCTGGACCGCGCGAATACACCAGCAACACGGCGCCCTTCGGCCTATTGTGTCCTTTCCCTGCCTGAAGCGACCCGAACCAGACCACCGAGCAGGGCTTCCCTGATGGGGAAACTGAGGCGCCAGGCGCCCACCTGGGCCCGCCCTCCTCCCTCGCCGTCCTACCCGAAGCGGATCGCTGTCCAGTACTCTGGGCCCAGGGTACTGTTGCCGCGGCAACCGTGCCAAGGAGGAAGCGACTACACCTCCCGGCGTCCACAGCGCCCCGAGGGCCAATGGCGCCTCAGGTAACTATTGAGGTGCATCATGGGAATAGTAGTTCGGGCGCTCCCGGCGAGCCCCTCGCGCCGGAGGCCAATGATCTGGTCGGTCATAATCGCGAAGCATCACAGGATTTGTAGTTTGGGATTGACCCAGCATGCACCGCGCGCGAGGCGATGCCACAGTGACCTATGTCATAATCACGAGGCGTCACGGGACTTGTAGTTTCTAGACAGGCTCGCTGGGGAGACCACTGGCGTAGAGGGACTGGCAGGAGCGAAGCGCGCCCCCATGGCTTGGGCTCGCGTCTCACTCTGGGCCTTGTGCGCGCTCCGCGTGGCGCTGGCCACAGTGTACTTCCAGGAGGAGTTTCTGGATGGAGGTGACAGGCGGGCGCCACCTGGGGGCGGAGCTTCGCAGGCCTGCCCAGTCCTGCGCCTGCCCAGTCCTGCGCCTGTCCGGCCTCCTGACCCGTGCTGTCTCCGCAGAGCGCTGGAGGAACCGCTGGGTGCCGTCCACCAACGACTCCCGCCTCGGTCACTTCCGACTCTCGTCGGGGAAGTTCTATGGCCACAAAGAGAAGGACAAAGGTCAGTGTCGACTCAGGAGGTGCCGAGCCAGGGCCAGACCCCCGCAGCTTGTTCGTTTGTTTTTCTTTTTGGCAGTACTGGGAGCGAGTCCCGGAGCACCCTGTCAGCACTGTCCTCCCTCACCTCGTCCGTCCCCTGGTCTCGAGCCGCCCGGCTTCAGTCATCTATTTTGAGACAAAATCTCCCTAAAGTGCCCAGTGGAACTCGAACTTGAGAGCCTTCTGCCTCAGACTTCCTCGTGCTGAGATTACAGGCGTGGAGCAGACTCGATGAGGCTGAGGCAGAAGGATCACAGGTTTCATTCAGCCAGGACAACTTAGTGAAGCAGAGAGGCCTTGTGTCAAATGAAAAAGTTTTAAAAGGTGCTGGGGATGGAACTCATTGTGGAGGCCTGGGTTCAACCTCAGGACCAGAAAATAATAATTTGAGGGTTTGGAGTTTAGCTCAGTGCTAGACCATGAGAGAGAAAGAGACAGTCTGCTTACCTACAGTGACAAAGGGGCTTTGGGTCTTTAAGGAGATGCCCAAACTTAACAAGAAAAAAATTTGAAGCCAGTGTGGTGGCACATGCCTGGAATCCCCACCCTCAGGAAGCTAAGGCAGGAGGAGCACAAGTTGGAGGCCCTCCTGGACAACTTAGCAAGCCTCTGTCTCAAAAATAAAATTTTATTTTATTCATTTATTTAATACTGGGAACCCATCCCTGGGGCCCTCACTATGCTGAGGCTGCCACAGGGTTCTGCTACATTGTCTGGGTGGGACTTGAATTTGCAGTCCTCCTGCCTCAGCCTCCCTCAGTCCTTGGATGATGGGCGGGCACCAACTCACCCAGGTAAAAATAAAATTTTAACGGAGGCCGGAGGCGAACGTGGTGCGGTGGTGCATACCTGTCATCCTAGCACTAGGGAGGCTGAGGTGGGAGGGTCCCTGGGAGTTGAGAACTTGTTGCCCCCAGGCCTGCAGACCACGCAAGACAGCCGTTTCTATGCCATCTCCGCACGCTTCCCACCATTCAGCAACAAGGGCCGCACACTAGTGCTGCAGTACACAGTGAAGCATGAGCAGAAGATGGACTGCGGTGGCGGCTATGTCAAGCTCTTCCCTGCTGACCTGGACCCTCGGACACTGAACTCGCAGTCTCCCTACTACATCATGTTTGGTGAGTTGTGCCTGCCGGCTCCCTGGCACCCCCCAGCCCTGAAGGCCATGTGATGAAGGCTATGTGATACAAGGCTCCACATCTGGTGCTCAAGCCTTGGGCACAGAGGGCAGGCCCCAGCCCTGAAGCATTTCGAGTGCCAGCAGGATCCTCAGAAAACAGACACTATGGCCAGGCCCAGGGGCCACAGCTAATATCCCAGTGCCCTGGGGAAGCTGAGGCAGTGCGATCATAAGGGTGAAGCTGACTTGGGCAATTTAACAACTTAGTGAGACCTGCCTAAAAAGTAAAAAGGGCTCTGATTGTAGCTCAATGCGAAGGCCCTGGCTCTGCAATAAATAAATATCTTCCAGTTTCCATATTTTTAGGTAAGGTCCAGGTAAGTACCAAGAAGGAAGAGTGCGTCCTGTCTTTCTCAGAGGCATCCTGTGTGTGGCCTCTGGTTACCCATATGATCTCATTTTACAGAGAAGAAAACTGAGGCACTTGCCCAGAGTCTGGTCAGCCCAGCATGTCCTGCCATGTCCCTGACACAGATGAATTCCACACAGACAATTTTTTCCTTTTGGTTTTTTGAGACAGTGTCTCACTGTATACGGCAGGCTGACCTCAAACTCACTATGTAGCCCAGGCTGGCCTCAAGCCCTTAGCAGTCATCCTGCCTCAGTCTCCCTAGTGCTGGGATAATAGGGTGCACTGCTTCACCCAGCTACTGTAAGTAGCAACTTAAAAATCCATGCCAGCAGCACTCGGGAGGCTGAGGCAGAAGGATTGCCAGGAATTTGAAGCAGCCTGAACTACACAGCGGGAGTTCAAGGTCAGCCTGAGCAACATAGCAAGACACTGTCTTGAAAATGAAAAAGAGGGGCTGGGGATTTAGCTCAGCGGCATAAGCACCTGCCTTGCAAGCAGGCAGTCGTGAGTTCAATCCCTGGTACCGATAAAAACGAAAAAGACAGAAAAAAAAAAAAAAAAAAAAGAAAGAAAGAAAAAAAAATCTATGCCAGGAGTGGTGGTACATACTTCTTGTCCCAGCACTGGGGAGGCTGAGGCAGGAGGAATGCTGTGAGCTGTGAGATCGAGGCCAGCCTGTGCCACATAGCAAGTCCCTGTCTCACAAAGACAACCAGAACATATCCTTCGGGCTGGCGGTGTGGCTCAGTAGTGAGTGCTCTTCTAGAATCCATGGGCCCTGGGCTCCATCCCTGAACTGAAAAGTCAAGCCCCACCTCTGCCTTTTGCATGGCCTCCAGACTGTACTTCCAATCAGAGCCTGTGCTTGATTGTAAGTTGCCTCCTGCCTGGGATCTGGATTTGTCTGGCTGGATGTGCTGTCACACACACGCCTACCATCCTAGCACTCTGGGAGGCTGAGGCAGAAGGGTGGCAGGTTTGAGCCCAGCCTGGACAACTTAGCAATTTAGCAAAACCCTATCTCAGGTTTAAAAAGGAAAAAGAGGGGGCTGGGAATATAGCTGAGTGCAAAGGCCCTGGGTTTAGTTCCTGGTTTTGAACAAAATTTATTTATTTTATTTTATTTTATTTTTTGTAACAGGGTCTCGCTGTGAAGTTCAGGCTAGCCTTGAGCTCACCTTGTAGCCTAGGCTGGTCTTGAACTTGCAGCGATCCTCCTGCCTCAGCCTCCTGAGTACTGGGATTACAGGCATGAGCCACCACGCCCGGCTTGAACAAAATTTAAAACACAATATATACATGTGTCATCCTGCCGGACTGTTGGACTCTGTCCTGCAGGGCTGGCTTCGCACAGCCGCTGTCTGAGGCCAGGGTGCCACCTCACTTCTCCAGTTGCAAAGCCTCCCGGGGACTGCCTCCCTGAGGCTGCCCTCAGGACGCTCAGGTGACATGGAGCCTCTGGGCTGCTCAGATGAGTTTTAACACAGGTGTAGGCGGTGGGACCATGGCCAGAGAAGCCATCAGCCGTCCACCTGCCCAGCACCCTGGCTTAGGAAATCTGCCCTGAGCACAAGCGACTGTGGGCAGCCAGGAGAGACCTGAGGGTGCCCGTATTGTGTTTGTAGGACCTGATATCTGTGGATTTGATTTCAAGAAAGTTCATGTCATTTTACAATTCAAGAATGAGTATCACGCCAACAAGAAAACCATCAAGTGTAAGGTACTTGGTCCTCACACCCAGATGGTGGTTTGATTTTTCTCCCCCTTTCTTCCTTGGTCTTACCTTTCGTTTATTTAAAATCTTATTTATTTATTTTTTTGAGACAGGGTCTCACTGTGTAGCCCAGGCTGGCCTTGAATTCACAGTGATCCTTCTGCGTCAGCCTCCTGGGTGCTGGGACGGGCATGGGCCACTATGCCTGACCTCCGGCCCTTCAGCCCTTTTTTTTTTTTTTAATTTGAGGCAGGGTCTTGCTAACGTCACCAAATTGCCCAGGCTGGGTTTGAACTTGTAACCATTCTGCCTCAGCCCACGGGATGGCAGGGTTACAAGAATGTGCCACTATGGCTGGCAAGAGAGCGACTGTGAAGGATCAGTGGGTCCCCCCTGCACCCTGCAGCTGGCCGCCTTCCCAGTGCTCTGGTCCCTGCACAGGTTCTGGGCATTCAGAGACAGGAAGGAACAGCTGTGGGCCAGGGCCTCGGAGGTCAGCAAGCCCCAGGGCGCACATGGGGCCTCGGGAAAGCTCAGGTCCCCGGGGGTGGCAGCTGCCTGGAAAAGTCTCCTGGGACAGGAACGCACCTGTCCATTAGCAAAAGCTGTTGGGCTGGCCACAAGGACACAGAGGGTGGCTGCGAACAGGGTCACCGAGGATGGGCAGGGGACACCAGGCAGGGAGGACTCGGTCTGGAGCAGCCCATGTGGAATCCCTGTAGTTGGGGCATCCAGGCAGAGGCGCATGGGCCAAGTAGTTGCTGGAAACTTGAGTGAAGCTCAAGCCCATGGCCAGGGTGGCAGACGTTAGGGTCGGCAGCATCTGTGTGCATGGGGGAGAGCACGTCACCCCCAGAAGGCCAGTGACAAAGCCCTGCAACCTGGGGCAACAGAGCCCAAAGTGCGAAAGAAGAAAAGCACCAGCTGGGTGCAGTGGTTCACTCTGAAATGGGAGGCTGAGGCAGGAGGATTGCAAGTGCAAACCCAGTCTGAGCAGCTTAGTGACTTAGGGAGACCCCATGTGAGAGTAAAAAACAGAAAGAGATGGGTGTGAGTTCATGTGAAGGCCTCAGAGTGTTGCAGGTGAAAAACACAGCTGGGTGTGAGGGCACAGGCCTTTTATCCTTGCACCGCAGAGGCTGAGGCAGGAGGAGCACCACGCATTTGAGGCCAGCATGGTCTACTTAGCGAGATTTGTCTCAAAAATAATAGCCAAGGGTTTAACTCAGTGGTTTAAGTGCCTGCTTGGCAAACACAAGGTTGTGAGTTCGATTCCCTGCACCAATAAATAAACAAATAAAAATTTAAAAACCCAAACAAACCAGCCAGAGAGGGGGGCGGTAGAGACTGGGAGGGGTTAAGCGTGCATGCTGTCACTGCCAGCTTAAAGGCCAAAGGCAGGGTGATCCTCTGGGAAGCTGTGGTGTGACTGCTGGTGTAATGGTGACAGCTGTGGCCTGCATAGCACAGATGGGACAGGAGAGGCCACCATCTGCAGCTCCCAGAGCTGGCTTGGCTCAGGCTTCCCCAGGGATTGGGAGCTGCTGTTGGGCCTGTCGGGGTCCTGTTCAGCAGGCTGGGCCATTTGTTGACTGCTTCCACGTCACAGGCCTTTGGCTGTGAAGGACTGGAAGAGGGTCTTGCTTGCAGGCCGGTGCAGCAGACAACAACTCTCCCTGTGCAGAGAAGTGAGTATTCAGAGGCCAGTGCTTGTTGCCATTGGTTTCCTGTTTTTTGGGAAACGGCCTCACCCAGGCTGGCCTCAAATTTGCAGTGAGATCCTTCTGCCTCAGCCTCCCGAGTGCTGTGATTACAGGCACACATGACTGTGCCCAGCTTCTCTTTTTGTCTCTTTCTGGGGGCCTCTGGGTGCACACCTCAGGTCACAGGTGTAGGGCGTGGCACCAGGGAGGGTTCCACCATGCCCCTCGCCCTCTGCCGTGCAGGTGGACGGCTTCACACACCTCTACACGCTGATCCTGCGGCCGGATCTCACCTACGAGGTCAAGATTGATGGACAGTCCACCGAGCTGGGCAGCATTGAGCACGACTGGCACCTGACATCGCTCAGGAAGACGGCGGCGATGGTGGTGGCGGCTGCTGCAGACACAGACCAGGGCAGAGCCAGGACAGCCCAGGTGTGTGGCTTGGCAACCTCGGGTTACGCTGCGAGGGTGGCAGGGCCTCCCGGTACTGCACTGTTGCTCCTGCAGGACAGATGGTGATGGCGTGAGCATGGCTGCCACCCCAGGTACCTGCCCCGCACCAGCATGGTGACGAGTGTGGCGCAGAAGGGTTTTCTCAGGCTCAAGATGGGAGCAGATAGTATTTTGTTTTCGAGATGGTCTTGCTCTGTTGTCCAGGCTGTCGAACTCATGGCAACAGCTTTTGCTAATGGACAGGTGCGTTCCTGTCCCAGGAGACTTTTCCAGGCAGCTGCCACCCCCAGGGGACCTGAGCTTTCCCGAACTCAGCCTTCTGAGTACTGGGACTGGGATCACAGGCCTGGGCCCCATGTCTGGCTGATAGGATTTTTTCTTTTGGAGATAGTCTGGCTCTGTAGCTCAGGCTGGGCTTGAATTCGTGGTGATCCTCCTGCCTCAGCCTCCCAAGTGATGGATGACAGGCGTGCACCACCATTCCTGCCAGAAAGAATTTTTAGACCTGTTTTTTCTGTCAGTGTTGGGGATGGAAGAGCCTAGGGCCTCCACACCCCAACTTAAGCAGTGCTTCCTTAAGGAAAGGATAATGGGCAGTGCCAATCACTTTAAAATTCATGTGTTACTCATTGAAAAATTGTCATACTGGAGCTATAGCTCAATGGTGAGCCCTTGACTAGCATATATGAGGCTGGGTTCTGGCCTTTCCACACACTCCTGTCATCCCAGCACTTGGGAGGCTGTGGTGGGAGGGTTGCCACAGAAGTTCTAGGCATGCCTGAGCTACAGAGCAGGATCCTGCCTCAAAGAAAACAGAACAAAATTTGTATATTGGTTATTTCTATTTCTCTGTTATTCCTTGGCAGATCTCACGCCCCAGGCTGGCCTTCCCTTGGGCACAGTCTCTGTTTGACCCAGGCAGAGGTTGGATGCGCCTTGGCATGTGGCTGCCTCCCACTGTCACCTTTCACCCTGACATTTCCCCTTCAGCTGTGATGGGGGGGGCAGTGGGAATCCCAGCAGCACACTGTGGTCTGCAGCCCTCAGAGCCCAGCTCCCTGAGCACATGCCCCAAGGCAGGACGGGGGACATGGGGACAAGAGACCGGGCCACCCCGTCTCAGGCCAGCTGGGAGAGCACTGGTGTGGCAGGTGCCCAACCGGGCTTCCATCCACTGCTCTGCAGCACAAGCAGAGGAAAGACCGAATTTACGCTGTCAACCCCAGGTGATCTCAGGTGACTCTTGGCGGCTGTGTCTTACAGGACTGGAAGAAGCATTTCCTGGACGCCAGGGCCAACAAGCCGAGCGATTGGAACAGTGAGCTGGACAGGGACTGGCCGGGGCCCATGCTGCAGAAGCCACCCTATCAGGTGTGTGGCGCTGTGATGCCTGGGGATGCACCAGGCTGTCCCCTCCTGTTGTGCCCTGGACCAGCCTGTGGTTGGCTGTTATAGGATGGCCTGAAGCCAGAGGGAATCAACCCGGACATCTGGCTGCACGAGAAGATGAGCAGCACTAGCTACCTGACTCAGTATGACCTCTCAGAGTTCGAGAACATTGGCGCCATTGGGCTGGAGCTGTGGCAGGTGACCGGCTTTATTTTTATAACTCAGATCCTAGCCAGGTATGGTGAAAGACCTTTCCCCCAGGACCCTGGGAGGCTCAGGCAGGGGGATCCCAAGTTCCAGCCCACCCTGGCCTACAAAGCAAGACCTACCCAACCAAACTGAGTGTTGTGGCCCACACCTGTCATCCCAGCACTCGGGAGGCTGAGGCAGGAGGATCACCATGAATTCGAGGACCACTTGGGCTACATAGTGAGTTGAAGGCTAGCCTGAACTACATAGCAAGGCCCTGTCTCAAAAACCAAAATACAATAAAAAGCAAACCAGCTGGGGATGTAGCTAAGTGGCGTAAGTGCCTGCCTGGCAAACACAAGGTCCTGAGTTTGATTTGTTTGATTCTCAGTACCTAAAAGAAAAACAAAACAAAAAACAAAGCAAAGCATTAAAGACCTTCTCTGCCCCTGCAGGTTAGGTCGGGAACCATCTTTGACAACTTCCTGCTCACAGATGATGAGGCGTATGCAGAGAATTTTGGGAAGGCCACCTGGGGCCAAACCAAGGTAGGGAGGATGTGCCCACTTCTGTGATCCCATGCTGGAGTCTTTCATTGGAGAGAGGACTTGGGGGTTTGACGAATGCACCCCCAGCCAGCTTGGCACAGGCAGGCAGTTCCCGTTACTGTGGGAAGTGTGTGGCCAGTCCTTGGTCATGTGAAACAGCACCTGGTGCATGTGGTGGAGCAGAACTGCTCACCCCTGGGTGAGCCAGGAGCAAGAGATCAGCACCCCAAGCCCCTGAGCGTCCCCTCCCATGAGTCAGACCTCCCTGTTGGCCCCGCCTCTTAGGGCCCCCACCTCCCTATAGTGACAGACTGGAGCAAGCCTCTGTCACACTGGCCAAACATAGCAGAGACCTTGCACTATAGATTCTTTTTTTTTTTTTAGTACTGGGATGATTGAACACAGGGACTTCACACAGAGCTCCATTCCTTGCACCCCTTTTTTTTTTTCTCACTTTTTTTTTTTTTCCTTGTCTTTTTCCTTTTTATCGGTACTGGGGATCAAACTCACGACTGCCTGCTTGCAAGGCAGGCGCTTATGCCCCTGAGCTAAATCCCCAGCCCCTGCACCCTTATTTTTAATTTGGTGACATGGTCTGCCAAATTGCCCATACTGGGCTTGAACTTGTGATCCTCCTGCCTCAGCCTCCCTTGAGTGCTGGGATGGCAAGCCTGGGGCGCAGCTGCGCCTGGCTTCCTTTTCAGAGAGGGCAGTGGGACCGGTCCTGCTAGGGCTTCAGTAAGGTCTTACCCCCCTGTCATTGTCCAGAGCGGCCTGTGCTCTGTTCCTGCAGCCTTGTGTGGCTTTCAGCTCCATTCTTTGCTAAGGAGGCTGCCTGAGCTTACGGCTGCGGGATGAACCCCCCAGGGCTCCCTCTGACGCTGGAATTGCAGGTGCCTGGGCAGGGCACAGGAGGGCCATGTGTCTTGCAGCTGCTGTCCCAGACGACCCCTGACCGTGGCTTGAGACGGCAGCATGCAGGGTCCTCAGGGATCGGGGTGCTGGCAGTCTCAAGCTCCTTTCCTTGCATGCCCATCTCCTTCCTTGTATCTCAGGAGGACACTTGTGATTGGCCCTAAACCCGGGATCCCACGGAGGTGTGGCCGCACGTGCCTGCTTGCTGCTCTTAGGGGGCGGGGCGTGGTGGGCGGAAGTGAGTTTGATGGGGCGGGCCTCATGACTGTTGGGTCTGCCCCTTCCTGTCTGCTTGCTGGTGGCCATAAGGCCAGCGGCTTCCTATGCTTCCTGTCCCTGGCCCCAGCCCAAAGGCTGCAGGATGGGACCACTACCTTCCGACAGTTTCTCAAGCATCTCAGATGTTTGACCAGATCCTGGTTCTCACGAGAGGCAGCGTTCCCGGGCTCAGGCCCCTGGGGAGAGGCGGAACCAGGGCCTCTCACCGCCCAGCCCCAGCTCCGCACCTGGGGATTGGGGTCGGACTCGCCCGCGGCTCCCTGCTCCGAGGGGTAGCTCCCGGGGACAGGGTCAGTGGGGCGGGACAAGGCCACCGCCGGCTGTTGTTCCCCCTCCAGGGCCCAGAGAAGGAGATGGATGACATCCTGATCAAGGAGGAGCTGATCAGAGCCCGCGAGGAGGAAGAGGATGAGCTGCTGGAGGGCAGGGGCCACAAGCCTCAGGACGCCTTCCGCCCATTTCACAGGCGGCAGGAGCTGTAGTCCGGCCTGCGGTAGGCAGAGGTGACTGGTAAAACCTCCATTCTACATCAGTCTACAATTCAAAACTCGGTCTGTGTGTGCTAATTTGTCCAGTGCCCTTGAAAAACGTCCCTCGGGGCCCGGTGTGATGGGGCAGCAGTACTCAGGAGGCAGTGGCAGGGGGGTTCCCATGAATTGAAGCCCGCCAGAACTCATAGTGAGACCCTGCCTCAGAAAAGGAAACAACACAAAAAAAGTTAAAACGTCTTCTGGCTCCTCAGTGGGGTAGGGCGAGTTTTCTTTCTCCTTCAAGCCTACAGCAGAAAGGTTCTCTCCATAGGTCTATGCAGCAGAGACACAGTGTTTTTTCTTAATCCTTAACGTTCTGAAAATAAAAGTCTGTAAAATGCATTCTGAGAAAGTGCGTGCTTCACATCTGGCTGTGAATCAGTTGCAATTTTTTCTTATGAGATCCAGTTTGGTTTCTTTCTCTTGCACTGGGGCTGGAACCCAGGGTCTCCCTGTGCAGAGAGAGTGCTCACTTCCTGCTGCAGCCCAAGTTCTCTGGGGTGGCATCTGCACCAACACCTCTGGTAACTGCAGACCTGCAGATTGCATGGGCCCCTTTCCTACTCGGGGATATGCAGAAAACCTGGGTTGGCAGTCTGTCCTCCCTAAGAAACAGTGGGATTCATTTTCCCAGAGAACTAATGTGTATTTCATCAACTAGTGTTTTTCTTTGAAATAACATAATGTCTTTCTCTTTTTTTTTGGAACTGGGGATTGAACTCATGACCTTGTGCTTACCAAGCAAGCATTTGAGCCAGTGAGCTAAATACCCAGTCCTTCTAAGTATATACTTTTTTGAGACAGGATCTTGATAAATCATTCACTTGCCCAGACTGGGCAATTGCAATTGTCCTGCCTCAGTCTCCCAGAGTCTGGGATGACAGGTACCCACCATGCCCTGCTTAGTGTTTTCAACAGGTTTACATCTAATCCCGTGTTCACTATTTCTGTTTGAAACACCTGGAGGAGTTTGCTCTCCAGAGGGAAAGTGGACCTGGATGGCCTTGGATCCTGGCATGGGGTGGTCCCTGATGGACCAGAACCCATGCAAAGCCATACCAGACAATCTGCTAAGAGAAAGAAGCTTTATTGGATGGGGTGGGGGTGGAGTGTTGCAGACTAAGACAGTGGCCGTTTGGCCTGGGGAAAGGTTTCTAGGAGTTGTTGAGGAGGGTCTCTCTAGGTGAGCCAGCTGTGAGCAGCAGAGTGTGACATGGTCATTATCAGGTACCCTCCTGGGCAGGGTTGACTTGCAGTTGGAACACTTCTGGGAAGTGTCTTTTCTTATAGCCCAGGCTTGTACAGGCTCCAGGGACAGGCTGACCCTTTAGTCCCCTCCTCTGTGGGCTGTCCAGCTTGCCTACACTGCTTCCTGGCCTTGGAGACCAAGCAGCTTTGCTCCTCTCACTGTGAGGCTCCTTACCAGGCACCCACTAGGGACCAGGAGTCATGTCAGATATTGACTCCTCTAGGTTATGGGTCCCAGTGTGATGTCTCTGCCATGGGAGAGCTGACCACTGCGCACTCTTGAGCTTTGGTGTTACCTCAGTGTTGCTGTGAAGCACCTTCTACCTGAGACTCGCTGGTGACTGAGTCAGCCTCCAGTGGACCCGTGGTGGTTCACCTGGACATTTGCTAGCAATGCCAGATGCAAGAACCTTACCCCATCTGCAAGGAAGCCAGACCCTCAGGGTGGGTTTCACAAGCCCTTGGGAGATCCCAGCTCCAGACTATTGTCTGACTGTAGGGAGAGGGCTGTCCAGTGTTCCAGCTGTTCGGGTGGCTGAACGGTGGTTGAGTGAATCATAAAGCACATTGTTTATCAGACTGGCATGAAAACCAACCAGTTGCAATGCTGCTGAAGCAGCCCTGGTGGGACACTGGAGAGGAGGGGGTGGCCTGTGCAGGGAGGCATCTCTTCGGGACACACCCAACCAGGGCTGCTGTGGTCAGCTGAGCCTCGTCCTTGCCGTGTGGACCTGGAGGGATTGTGTTGTCAGTGGCAGGGAGACGTTTTGCTGAAAGCAGCGTCATGGGCTGGGCTCTCTGGCAAGCTTCTCCCGTGTGAGGGCAGCGCTTGGCAGCCCTGTCCTTGGGAGGGGCCTGGGTGCAGAGGGTCGGTCAGCGCTTGTCAGGGGGGCGCCTGGGAAGCGGCGCAGAGGTCCCGCGGATGCGGCGAGATCGCCTCCCTCCAGCTGTGACCACGGCGCAGCCCCTGCCAGGCCGGCAGCAACAAAGAACCGGAGGCGGGGCGGGAAGGGGTTGTGCAGGGAGTGGACAGCTGCCCCAGTGCGGCACGCGGCCGGGTGACAGGCCAGCTCTGCAGGGGTCTCAGCCCCGTCCCCTGAGGCCATGGTGCGTGCGCGACCCCGCCCTCACGGCCCGACCACGCAGGCGCCTCCGCGTCTTCGGGTCAGCCCCTTTTGCCAGGGTTGCGCGCGCACCGCACCTGCAGCAGCGCGCAAGCGTGGTTGTGGCCCCGCCTCCCGGCGCTCGGAGCCCGAGTTCGCGGGAAGATGGCGGCGCCGCTCGTCCCCGTCTCCCAGCAGGTACGGGCTGCCGGCGCTGGGCGGGGCCGGGGAGGCTGGGGCGGGAGTGCTGGGGGGCGGGGGTCAGCGGCCCAGGCGGGTCTGTGCGGCCGAGGGGCGGGGGGCCAGAGGGTGACAGGCCAGCCGGGCCGCGGCCGCGCGCACGGCGACCCTCACGGCGCGGGCCCCGTCGCCCCCGCCGCGGCATCAGGAGGGCGAGGGGAGCGCGCTTCCCCCGGCACGCCGCGGCCTCTGCCGGCTCTGGCGCGGGCTCTGCGTGAGCTCCCCGTCCCCTCGCAACCCAGAAAGGCGGGTCGCGTGTCCTTGGGTGCCCCGTGTCTCCGCGGAGGGGCAGGGTCGGGGCGTGAGCCGGGAGCGTAGGGTGATCCGCGGGCCCCCGGGAGGGCATTCATTCATTCCCTCGCGTCCTCCCCGCGCGAGCGCGCCGCCTCGGGTCGCAAGATCCCGATCCGCGGAGCCCCCGAGCCCGCTCGCCGCTGCCGCTTTTGTTGGTCCCGACCCCCACATGAGCAAGCACTTTGCCGGGCTCCCTCGGCACCGCGCGCTGCCGGCGAGGGCGGACGCGGGGGCAGGTGTGGTGTGTCCGGTCTCGGGCCGTCTCCTCCTGTCCCAGTGTCCTTGGGTGACGCTCCCGGCCACATCGTTCCGGAGAATGGGGCCGGCACGGGGGACCACTGCGAGGGCGGAACGCGGGGAGCCCTGGGTGCGTGGCACCCGGGAAGCACTCAGGGCTGCTGCAGTCATTATCACCCTTTAATCCCTACCAGATGTGGTCGTTTGGGAGCGAGGACCGCAGCAGGTGTGGATGCCAAGCCGGAGGGGAGCTGATAGTTGCCAGGCGCCGTCCCTGGTCTGAGCAGGCAGACGTGCGTGCTTGTTAGGTCTTGCAAGAACCAGCCACTTTGCAGCCCTGTCGCTAAATGAATGGTGCTGGAGGTCAGTGGTTATTGAGTAACACATTCTTGTAACAGATTCTAAAGTGTTCTGGAAACCTCCGAGTGTCCTGCAGAACCTAGGCCTGCAGAACCTAGGCGTAACTGGGTTAGGGGTGAAGTCTGCCTGTGTAGTCCAGGCTGGCCTTTAAACTATCCTACTTCGGCATTCTGAGTAACTGCGACTACAGACACCTGCCTCTGCATTTGCCATTAGGTATTGTTATTATTATTATTGGGTCCTTGTGTTTTGTTTTGTTTTGTTTTTTCCTGTACTGGGAATCAAATATGAACTCATGCTTGTCAGGCAGGCACTGTGCCACTAAGCTAGATCCCCTGCCCCTACTGGGTCTTTTTGAGACAAGGCGTCACTCTGCAGTTCAGATTGGCCTTCAGCTCACTTTGTACCCCAGGCTGGCATCTGACTCGCAGCAATGCTCCTGCCTCAGCCTGCCAAGCATTGGGATTACAGTACCACTAGGTATCATTATTAATAGCTAAGCACTACAGGGTTGTCGGGGGAGGTTTGGCTCACCTGAACTCAGTGAGTGAGGAAGCACTGCTGCATTTTTAAATTTTTTGTGTGTAGGGTTCCTTTTCTGACTTCCTGCCTAATTTTGGGAGTGGCCCTCGTTTGGACTGGATGATGACAATAGCTGACATCTTTTTTTTTTTTTTTTTTTTTTTTTTTGTCTTTTTCATTTTTACTGGTACCGGGGATCGAACTCACGACTGTCTGTATTAGCTGACATCTTTGAGCGCCGCAGAGTTGTGTACTTGTTACATGCGTGTGTCTTAAGCATCCTCGTGTCCCTGGCATGGTGGCTGCTGAGCCAGGTCCTGATCCATGAGGTGACAGAGGTCCCATGAGTGGGGACTCCAGGAATCCCTGAATCCTCTGCTTCTGTGTGCAGCTCCTCTTGCTTCGTCCACCTCTATCCTCTCCTGATGTGTTCACTGCTGCCTACCCTGCTGTCCTGCCGTCCCACCCAGGTCTCGTGCTCTTTGTCCTAACCAGCTCCCCCAGGCTGACTGAGCCTCTTCTAGAAGCATTGTCTGTTGCCCTTGCCCCATGTACAGTGGCCGCCAGAGGTGGTTCTTCCTGGGCCTCTGGGGCTCCTTATAGCTGCCCGTCCATCTACTTGTTTCCAGCAGGGTCCCCTGATGTCTGCATGTCCCTGATCCCCCCAGGTTGGATGCTTCATAGCTGTGGACCCAGGAGGTGGCTGCTGGACCACTGAGCAGGCCTCTCTGCAAGGCTCACGCTGCTTTTCTTTTTTCTTTTTTTTTGGTCTTTTTTGTTTTTACTGGTACCAGGGATCGAACTCACGACTGCCTGCTTGCAAGGCAGGTGCTTATGCCGCTGAGCTAAATCCCCAGCCCCGTCGCTGCTTTTCTTCTCTGTGGGACAGGACCCTGGGTGGGGACAGACCTCATAGTATTGCTGCAGGGGGAATGAGTGGATCCATGGGTCTGACACATCCGGTTGGCCACTTCCTCTTCCCCAAGCAGGGCTGAGTGTTATCTGGGCCGGGTTTCTCCCTCAGAATGGGCCTCTCAGGGCTTCTCTGTGCTGGGACTATTTATGCTCCCCTATTCCATGCAGCTATGCCAGAGGTCCCTGTCCCCCAGGCATGGGGCACAGATGGTGACCCTGGCCAGGACAGCAGAGGCTGAATGAAGGCTGCAGGGGACGCTGATGGGCCAACAGCCCAGCTGTGGGTAGTAGGTACTGAGCTCCCCCACCTGCTCCTTTGGAAAGGGTCTCTTGACCCTCAGGCGGCGTCCTCTCTGGGTGCTGCTCCTGCACTTGGGTACTGCTCCATCTCCAGCAGTACCTCCTTCACTGCAGCCAGCTCCAAGACAGCAATACCCCTGCAACACTTTCCCTTTGAGTACTATAGCCCAGGCAGGCCTGGAACTCACGATCCTCCTGCTTCAGCCTCTTGAGTATGGGAGTCACAGAGGTTCATTTTGTAGGGTGAAACCGATCCTCACTGGATGCGGACACAGCGGGTACAGCTCTGGGGCCTTCATGTCAGTTTCTCCTTCTCCCATCTCTGCAGGAGGCTTGTGGGCCCCGCCAGGGTGTCTGGAGTGCTGGGGATGGGAACAGGGCTTCTGTGTCTCCTGTCCCTTTCTTTCTCTGGGGTGTTTGCTCACCCAACCCCTGAATAAAAGTGGCATCTCAGGCGACAGCAGCGTCCCTGTCCCTCCCTTCTCTGGCCGACCTGAGAAGGGATTTCACCATGCTCTGAGCTGCCCCAGGATGGTGGCTGGCTGTGGTCAGGGTAGCAGAGAGCCGGGCTCCAGTCTGATTCCCCTCTACTGGGCCTACACACTGGACTGTGTCCCTCATGCCTTTGTGTTCGGAAGCCTCTGGCTGAGTTGCCAGGTTCCTCAGGGTGGATGTGAACTTACCATCATACCAAAGCCTCTCAAATTGCTGGGATGACAGCAATCTACTGTGCCTGGTTTGATTTATATCTGTTGGGCAAGGTAAGGTGCATCGGAGGAGCATGGGGGCATGGGAGCCAGTCCTAAAGCCTCCCCGGGACACTGGTTCATGTTTCTGCCTTGTGGTTTTTTTCTTACTGGTACCTGTTTAAAGGGATTGATTTCTTGTGGTGCTGAGAATGGAACTCAGGGCCAGGGACTCATCTGGCCTGCGCCCAGCTGCCCTGTCATCTTGACTTCCTGCCTGGGGGCTGATGGGGAAGTGGGCTCTGCCCTACCTCCTGGCCCGGTTCAGCTTCTGGTTTGGGAGCTGGGGTGGATGAAGGGGAGGCTTCCACTTGGGCTTTGGATGCCACAGCCTGGAAGAGGGACCTTGGACCCTTAGCCGGCTTAGGGCATGGAGGGCGTGTTCTGCCTGAAAGCCACGCCCCTGTGAGGAAGCAAGAAGGTAGGGTCTGGAAGGAAGGTATCTGGGCCAGTGCCTGGGCTACAAGTGACCCCGCTGGAGGAGGCCACTGGTGCTTGCTTGGCTTGAATTCCTAGACTGAGTCATTACTGGGCCAAAGATGATCACTGGGGCTCCGAGGCTGTGGGGTGCCTAGGGCTGCAGGTCCCACTGTGCCGCCTGACTTCTGCTGGGTGCTACCTGCCATGTGGGCTGGGCTGTGGGCTTCCTTTTCTGGTTTTCTGAGTTAGGATCCCAGTACCCTGCTCAGCCTGCCCTTGGTCTCCCTTCCTGCCTCAGCCTCAGGAATGCTGGGTTAGAGGGAGACTCGACCCACAGCTTCTCCTCTGGTCTGCTGTCTGTCCATCGAGAGGCTTGCCTGCTACCTGCCCCCTTCCCAGGTGCCACCTGTTGAGGCTCTGCTTCCTGCACTTGCTTGAGGCTCGTCCTGGCCCCGGGCTTTTGCCTCGGGCCAGCTGGGCCCCCCTTGCAGAGGAAGCCTGTCTCTGCTCTGGTGCTTTTGTGAGACTGGAGGTCAGTGCCTGGGGCTTCCTTGGGAGTTGCATCCCAAGCCCTGCTTGCTCACTTTGAGACATTGCCTTGGTAAGTTGTTGCAGTGGGCACAGCCTTATGATCCTCCTGCCTCTGCCTTGCTCTGAGGCCACAGGCATGTGAGGAAGTCTTTTGTTCACGCCAGTGGGGATGGATGCATGCACTGGTGCAGATCCCTCTCAGGGTTTCTTTGGGGTTTTTGCCAGCCAGCTCATGTGCCCTGTGCCTGGAGCAGGGTCCGCACCTGCTGTGGCCGTCCTGGATGAAGGAGCTGGATGTGCATGGTGGGAGGCAGGGAGAGCCACAGACCTCTCTGGAGGGCTGGGGGCGCAGAGTAGATGCCAACACTGTCTGTGGTGCAGGCTTAAAGCAGCACAGAGGGCTGACCTGGGGACTTCAGGGACGAGATAGGGCTGGTGACAGACTGTGCAGGGTAGTGGTCATGACACTCCCCCTTGGGTGGGGGAGCAAGCAGGAGAAGAAAACTCCCTGTGGGACCAGGGCAGTTAGAGACACAGCAGGGACTGATCTGGCTGAGACCAGGCCCCCAGGCTGCTCGAGCCCCCACTCTGGCTGCTCCCTGCATTCCACAGGAAGCGACAGGGCCTGCTGGACTGTGGTTCCAGAGCACACTGAGCAGCTGCACAGGACATAGGACACAGTGGTTACTGCCCTGCTGTATTGCCCTGGTCTGTAGGTCAGAAGGGAGGCTCGGGAGGGCAGTGCATCCTGGGGAGCTGGGAGTGTGGTGCCACCTGCAGAGAAGCAAGGCCACGCTGGTGCTGCCCTTGCTGGGTCCCCATGCCACCTCTCGCGCGTGCTGCAGTGCGAGGAGGGGCTGTCCATCCTTGGGTGCCAGCACATGGTCAAGGCCCCTGTGCACCTTGCTCTTCTTCTTGAGGGGGCCAGGGCTGGAGGGCTGTGTGTGCTACATGAGCTCAGTACTGGGCCCTAGCTTGGGTTCTTTCTCTGCCGTAAGAAGCAGCCTTGGAGCACATGGCCTCTCTGCCGAGTAGCTCAGTGGGGAGTACCTGGCTGTATTCTGAACCCACAGAGACCAGGAAAGTGGCATGTGCTTCTGGGGCACACGCTCATGGCAGAGCTTATCCCTGCGCTGGGCAGCCCAAGCCCCAGGTCTGTGTTTTCTCCCAGGGCGGGCCTCTGCATTGGTGTTTGGACTGACTTCACTGCGGGGCTTACCCCATGCCGGCAGTGCTGGCTGCTCAGGAGACTGAGGCAGGAGGGTGAGCTTGAGGCCAGGCCCCAAGGAAGCAAGAAGGGAGAGGACACAGATTCACACTGGCATGACCAGCTTGGTGCATGGCACTGTGCTATAGTAGGGCTGGTCATGGGGACCAAGGCATCTTTGTGGTTTGTTTTTTGAGACACGGTTTTGCTATGTAGCCCAGGCCGGCTTCGAACTCACAGCCATCCTCCTGCCTCTGCCTCCCACATCCCGGAATGACACATGGGCCCTGAGCCTTGCCTGAGCAGTCTCCTGGGCTCCCTGCCAGCTGGCCCTTGGTGAGGAAAATGCACCCCCTAGGGTGGGCATGGGCACCGGGCAGGCTCCTGGCCAGACCGGAGCACAGGCCTAGTGGGCAGGGTCCTGGCTTTTGTCCCCAACGCTGCAGAACGGAGCAGATGCTGGCAGCATGCAAGAGGGTCAGGCAGCCAGCGTATCCTTAGTTGTCTGAGGGGCAAACCTTTCCAAGCTGGGCAGCAGGACATGGGGATGGCACCTAAGGGGGCTGGTCCCCAGGCCAGGAGGTGACCTATGCCAGATGGGTGGAGAGGCAGCAGGGTATGTGTGTGTGTGCCCCGTTCGGTTGGCACAAGAGTGAGGCAGGTCTGGAGTGCTGCATTCCCTCCTCTGCCTGCTCTTCGTGCTGAGCATGGGCTTCTTGGCCACCTTGGCCAGACTGAGCTGTGGAGTGCTTTGCCTTTTAAGCTACAGTCCCAGCCTCTCTGCTTTTTTGAGATAGAGTTTTGCGTAAATTGCCCAGATGGGACTCAAACTTGTGATTCTCCTGCCTCAGTTTCCTAGGGTGTTTTCATTATAGTTGTGCACTACTATGCCAGGCCACATTCAGTTACTTTTTTAAAGAGGCATATAGGTGTTTATTAGAATGTTAATAGTATACACTCAGGAGCTGGGCATGGTAGAACACATCTGACATTCCAGCACTCAGGAGGCTGAGGCAGGATGGTCGCCGCAAGTTTGAAGCCAGCCTGAGTTAAAGAGTGAGCTCAAGGGCAGCCTGGATTGCATGGCACAACCCTGTCTCTAAATGAATAAGTAAATGTACACACATACAAAAAGGATGCTGGGCCCAGGTGCTGGAGAAAGCTCGGTGTGTTTTTTTTTTTACACTTTTTTTTTTTTGTTGGTACCAGGGATCGAACTCACGACTGCCTGCTTGCAAGGCAGGTGCTTATGCCGCTGAGCTAAATCCCCAGCCCCAAGCTCGGTTTGTTTGGTGCTGGGGGTGTGCGTGTGTTTTGGGGAGTGGAGCTCAGGATCGAGTAAATGCTCAGAAAGTTTCCCCATGGTTCCTGGGGAGGAGAGCTCGGCCACCTGGAGATAAAGGGTGACCCAGTTCCCCGAGAGAACAGGAAGGCAGAGCTGGGCTTTTTTTCCCAGATGAATCATGTTAAGATGTTTTGCCTCAAAGCATTTGTTTGAAAGCTGTGAATCTCTTTCTGTGTCTTCTGGTCAGGTTTCTACCCTCATTTGGTCCAGTGACCTAATCGCTGGGCCAGTGGTGACGCAGAGCCCCAGGGTACAGGTGGGAAGGCTGGCTAGTGGGTATCCTTCAAGCCAGCCTTGCTTCCTGGACAGTCAGGAATAGGGCCTTCCTCGGCCCCTTCCTGCCTATCTTTACTCCTCTATCTGCCTGCACCTCTGACTTGGATCTCTTGTGTTTCTGGTTTTGTTTCGGGGACAGGGTCTTGGGTGTACCCCATACTGAACCTGACCTTGCTGTGTGATCCAGGCTGGCTCGGGTCCTGGGGCAAGTATCTTGCCTCAGCCCCCGAAGGGCTGAGCTGGCAGGGGTGCCTGGTTCCACAGGACCTCAGGGGTGAGGAGGCCCAGCAGGACCTGTGTGGGCAATGTGTTTGGCGGAGCCTCTGGCAGTCTGCATGGAAACGCAGTGTGTCTGCACGGCTTCTGGCTCCCAGCATGGTGCTGGGGCCCTGAACCCACCTCACACTGCCATTGCCCACACAGTGGGCCTTTTCCACTCCCTGCCTCTCTATGCCCAGTTGGCCTTTCTCTCCCTGTGTATAGCTGTGCTGTTACTCTGTCACTCATGGTTCTGGTCCTGTGGGCTAAACCCAGGGAGCTCCAGCAGCACTGGGCCACCCTGCCCACTAGGCCGCTCTTCCCTCAGAACCTGCCCTGGGTGCGGAGCAGAGGTGTGCTCTGTGCCTAGTGCACGTTGGTGCCACCCTACCTGAGGGGATCTCCTGAAGTGGTGGCTGTGGTGGCTTTGCCACCACATGGGCTGGGAGGTCTGGTTGCCGGCCCAGCCATCCTGCTTCGAGGTGACTATGCTCAGGGAAGCCCTGGGCCAGGCATATCCAAGCTGCCTGCATCTTGCACCTGCCAGCTGTCACTCCCATCACCTGCCCTGCGCCATTCAGGGAAGGGTAAGTCAGGTACAGTGTGTCAGGTGTGGCCCATGCGTGTAATCCCCACACACAAGAGCCTGAGGCAAGAGGACTGCGTACCACAACAAGCTCAGCGCCAGCCTGGGCAGTTCAGTGAGATCCTGGCTAGAGAAAGGAAAGAGACACGTCAGTGTGGGGCTGGGCACTTGGTGTGTGTGTGCGTGCGTGCTTAGGATGCATCCCTTGCTCTCACTCACACAGCTGTCACTCTGGAGCTGCCGTAGTGCCAATGTACCTTGGCTAACCCTATGGTGAATCGGAGGTCTTTAGTGCTGAGAACACCTTTCAACCAGTGCACCCAGCTCAGCCCAGCCCAAGCAGTCTGGGTCTGGTGTCTCAAATCCAGCACATGCTGTGGCTTGGGAGCCCTTGCTTGCATGGGAACCTTGGGCCCCAGTGTCCATCCCCAGTGCCACCAGAGTGGAACTGAATTCCTGTATGTGCCAGCGGCAGAATGCTGAGCCAAGCAGGGCCTGGGCACTTAGAACCCCAACTCAGCCTCATCCTGAGGGCAGCAGCAGCACCCACCTGTGGGTACCTCGCACTTGCGCCCCATAAACTCACGAAGCAATGGCTGTGCCTGGGACACAGTGAGGTGGGTGGAGGGGGTGGGTGGAGAGCCCCAGTACTCATGCAGAGCCTTCAGGTCCCCCTGGGGCACCATGTAAGATGGCTGGGGAGATGCAGACAGTCAGCCAGGCTCGAGGCGCACTCTGGAGGCTGAGGCTGGAGGATTGCACAGGTCCTCCTTGTCCCATCTCCAACAGTGTGGTGACTTAGGGGACTCCATTAAAAAATGCAAATCATAGGGCTAGGGGTGTACAGTGCAGAGGCCCCAGGTAAGTCTCCCATTCTGAAGAGACTGGGTGACAGAGAGTTTCCTGAGTTGCGTCATTACAACTTTATTCCAAAAATTGATTTTCTACTGTGAGTGGTGTCATGTCTACAATTACAGCACTACTGAGAACTTTCGCATACTGTTTGGTACCTTCTTTTTGTTTCATTTTTGTTTTTGGAGACAAAAGTTTCACTGTGTGGCCCAGACTGGCATCAGTTCACAGCGATCCTCCTGCCACAGCCTCCTGAGTGCTGGGATCATGGTTGTGCTCTACCATGTCCCATCTATCTGGTACATTTTTGTACTTCTTACACCACAGCTGCTGGGGGACTGGGAACCTGTTTCAGGGAGCCCTGGCCCCAGCGGGTGAGCATGTAATGTGTGTTTAGTGGTGTGGCCAGGACTGCTAGCCTAGCAGGGGGCAGGCAGCCTGCATGGCCACGCCCCACAGTGTCCTTAGGTACCTGGGGCCTGGGCCCCCTGCAACACCGAGGCAGCCTTGCTTGGTGCCAGCTTCCCCCAGCTGTGGCTCTTGATCCCTAAGAGCTTTTGGGGGCTTCAACAGCATTCATGTCCAGCGCTTGAGGGCTGAAGGCTCCCGAGGTGACTGAGTGCTGGGCTGGGCTTGAACTTGCAATCCTTTCGCCTCAGCCTCCAGGGCACTGGATGACAGGTGTGTCCCAGCACAGCCCCCTCTGTTTCCTGGTGGAGCTGGGCAGTGTGGATGTCTGTCCCCTTAAATTCTGTCCAGAAAGCAGCCCCAGCCCCATGTTTACACTGGCGACTGGCAGCTGGGTGGCTTTGCCAACCTTGTCCTCATCCCACCTAGCAGCCCGACTGAGCAGTGTCCTTCCCCGTGGTGCAGGTCCTCAGCAGCTATGGGGACACCTCTTCTACAGTGCTGTCTCCTGGGCTCTCTGTCCCCTCCACGCTGGCTCGGGTGCACCCCAGGGTCCTGGCCTGACCCAAGCTCCGTGTGCCATGTCCCCTTGTGGGTCAGAGTCTATCTGTGGGGCTGTGACAGTTTCTGTGGCCCTTCCTTCCTGAGCGAGTCCCAAGCTCCTGTGGGTGGCTCTGTCCCTTCCCTGTGGGACTGTATGGTTATGAGGTCCATGCCCATGCCCATGCCCCATCTCACCTGCTCAGCAGTGGAAGCCCAGCGTGCACAGGTGGCCATGGCTGCCTTGAGGATTCTGCTCCGGGGAGGGCGAGTGTCCCTGGAGGTGGAGCCTGGCCCTTTACATGCCCCAGTCTCTGCAGTCTGGCTAGGCAGTGACGCTGTTGGGGCCAGCTTGGTGACCTGTGCCTGTGATCCCTCCATCTGGAGGCCAAGACAGGTGGATGGTTTGAGCCCCAGAGTCCAGGGCGGGGTCCACAGGTCTACTGATTGCTGTCTATGGTTTGCTACAGGTGCCTGGTGGGAACCCGGTCTACGACTCCTACTACAAGCAGGTGAGTGGAGCTGGGCTTCTGGTGTTCTGGGTGGGGGCAGGCTAGGTAGCAGGCCAAGGGCTTAGTAATGCATTGCCCCTCCCCCTGTCCCCAGGTGGACCCAGCCTACACGGGCAGAGTTGGGGCGAGCGAGGCCGCGCTGTTCCTGAAGAAGTCAGGGCTGCCGGACAGCACCCTCGGGAAGGTAGGTGCATGGGGTGGCCTGGGTCTTTGCCTGCTTGTGGCAGCCCTGGCGTGTCCTGCTCACAGGCCCCCTGTGTCTCTGCAGATATGGGACCTGGCTGACCCAGAAGGGAAGGGCTTCCTGGACAAGCAGGTGCGTGTGCTTGTGCCTAGGAGGGTGTCCGAGGGGCCTCGCTGGGGGTATATGGGGTCGCTGGGGAGGAGGCTCTGGCACAGGCAGGCCGTACTCTTGCAGGCTGCCTTGGTACTTTGCAGCCTCACCACTGACTGAAAAGTTTAAGACCTTCTGTTGTGGTCACATGCTGTGGTGCACACCTGCCATGCCCATTCCTCAGGAGGAGGCTGAGGAGGATTGCAAGTTTGAATCTAGCCTTGGCCACTAGGAAGCCCCATCCTTGAAGTAAAAGGTTTTGGAGAAGGTTGGGGACATAGCTCAGTGAGAACGCTGGGTGCACCCTCAGGACTGGGGGATCCGGAGCGTGCCTTGGGCAGTTAGAGAGCTCCGGCCCTGCAGGCTGAGTGGCAGCCAGGCCACGGGGATCTAACTTGGCCTGTCATCCTAGCAGGAGATGATGCCACTTGGGCTGGGGAGTCCAACGTGAACCTCGGCACTGACAGGTGTTGGTCAGTTCCTTTCTGTCTGCCCATCTCTATCCTAAGTTTCTGGTTCTCCTCATAGTGCTGGAAGTAGAGTCACACAGCTGTTCCCAGGGCCTCTGCATAAGGACAGCTCCAGCCCCTCCGGTTTGCTTTGGTTTAGGATAGTGTCTCAGTAAGGTGCTAAGTTGCCAAGATGGCCTGAACTTGAAATCTTCCTGTGTCAGTCTTCCATAGGGCTGGAGATAGGCAGGAGCCACTGTGCTTGGCTCCAGGCCATTTTAAAGCCCCTGTACATGTCGGTCCCTTGCTGCCCCTGCTGCGTGGTGTGGCGCTGGCTTGGTGTCAGGGCAGTGGCATCCCAGGCAGGTCTGGCTGGGCACTCTATCATGCCATCTGCTCCCAGCTGTGTTGACAACACCCTTTGGTTTCCAGGGCTTCTACGTGGCGCTGAGACTGGTTGCCTGCGCCCAGAGCGGCCATGATGTCTCGCTGAGCAGTCTGGCGCTGACGGTGCCACCACCCAAATTTGTGAGTGCTCTGCGTGGTGCACGTCCATGGAGGGATTCCCTGCGCCCCCAGGTCCGCACTCCTCTCTGCTGAGGTTGGCTGCGACACCTCAGTGTAGCAGTTCTGCAGCTTATCGGGCCTCTGTGTTGTCCTCTCAGTCCCCATGTGTTCCTTCCCGGCCTCCCCTGCTGCCTGTGTCCTCTGCTCTCGGGTGGCCGTGGGGCTCCACTGTCTGGGCATGTGTGTGCCGGGTATGCACCAGGCACTCCTTGCTGTAATTGAACCTTTGGGTTTTTCTTTTTCCTCAGCATGACACCAGCAGCCCCTTGATGGGTGCACCGTCTTCTGCAGAGGCCCCCTGGGCAGTGCGGGTAAGTGACCAAGCCACCCCTCTCTTGGAGCTGTTAGGGTCATCACCATCACACAGACAGGGCAGGTGGGCCACTGCTGCCATCCTAGCTCCTCAGAGGCTGAGGCAGGAGGATTGCCAGCATAGACCCCACCTGGACAGCTTAGCAAGGCTCTGACTTTAAATAAAAATTAGAAAGGGCTGTAAGTGTCACAAGGCCCTGGGCTCCATCTTCAGTGTCACCAAGGAGGAAAGGTTTTTAGTTCAGTTCCTGCATCTGCCTGTTGCAGCACATCACCCTGTTGATTGATGGTGCTGGGCCCAGGCTCCATGCGTGTTCAATGTGGACTCCTCCAGCTGCATCCCAGCTCCACACATTCTCTTTTTTTTTTTTTAAGATTGGGTCTCACTGTGTAATTTGGGCTGGCCTTGAGCTCTCTCCATGTATCCTTTTGCCTCAGTCCCGACATGGAGCGCACTCCTGCAGGAGAGCTATCCCTCCTCTGTCACCTACTTACCAAGGTGGCCTGGCTCTGCCTGGAGAGGCTCCGTCCCCGGGAGTCACCTAGTCTGGACCTGGACGGACATCAGCTTTGTGTTGAGGAGCTGTCTTGAGGTCTTGGATGTCTGGGTCCTGTGGCTGGGTTAGCCTGGGCTAGCGCGGGGTCCAGCCCTGTGTTCCATGGCACCATCCTTTCTTCCTTTTTTTTTTTGAACTTGGTTTTATTTTATCTTTCGGGAGCTGGGGACAGAGCCCAGGGTGTCCCGCTTGCCAGTGGAGCGATCCCCCATGGAGCCTCGCTTTAGCCCCAAAACCTTTAATTGCTGTTATGAACACCATGCTCACTGACTGTGCCGCATGAGTGGCTGGCATTTTTGATTGTTGTATACTATGCACATCACAGAGTTCAGCCCCATTTTTGAGCATTGGGAATGGAATCAGGGCCTTCAAACTATGCTGCGTCCCCAGTCCTGTTTATTAATTCTTCATTTCAAGACAGGATCTTGCTAAGTGCTGGAGGTGCTCAGGTTAGGCTGGAACTTGGAATCCTCCTGCCTCAGCCTCCCAGAGTGCTAGTGTGATGAGTGTTGGGAACTGACTTGATCACTTGCCTCTCTGCTTGTCCTAGAGCCTGTGAGGGTCAGCAGGGGTCACCTGTCCTCTGGGGAAGGATGCTGCCCTGCGCCCAGGCAGCAGCCAGGGCACAGGAGGCCCTTTGCAGCTCCTTTCCTGCACCCCCTGGCCTCACCCAAGCCTTTCTCCCTCCAGGTGGAGGAGAAGGCTAAGTTTGATGGCATCTTTGAAAGCCTGCTGCCTGTCAAGGGCTTGTTGTCTGGCGACAAGGTCAAGCCGGTCCTCATGAACTCGAAGCTACCTCTAGACGTCCTGGGCAGGGTGAGTGGCTGTGGCTGGGCTAGGCAATGATGTCAGGGCTAGTGGGGCTGTGACCTTGCCCCTGGTGGCCCTGTGAGCTGCTCACAGGGTGGCCCTGGCCTGGACACTGAGCCTGTGGTCTTGCTGGGTGTGGAAAACGCCTTCGGAGTCTGGAGGCCTTGGTTGGGGATCTGGGGCTGTTTTCCTGCCCTGCTGCCAGGCAGGCCTGAGGCAGAGCCTGGGTGGATGCCTGGTGACTGCAGTGGCCTCAGAGGGGTCTGGAAGCCCCTGTGCCGGTGGGCCTTGTCCTCTGAGTGACACTGGCCAGTGCTGCAGTCTCGTAGCAGCCAGCGCCCATGTCACCAGCCAACCCTAAGTCAAGTGCAGGAGCCCCGGTCACCTGGCACACAGTCTCTGGGCAGCAGCCCAGGGCCTGGGGCGCCAGGGCAGCTGCTGTCCTGCTGGCCACACCTGTGGGGTGGTGGTAGCCAGCTCTCCAGACCCTGGGTGTGGGGGTGACGTGACTGTGCCGTGTATGGGTCGGGACTGCCATACACCAGTCCCAGGCTCACGTCGTGCCAGGCGTCCTCACACAGCAGCCCCTTGGCTCCGTCTCATGTCTGCTGTTATCTACCCACAGGTCTGGGACCTCAGTGACATAGACAAGGATGGGCACCTGGACCGTGAGGAGTTTGCTGTGGTAGGCCCGGTCTTCCGCCCCAGGAGGGAGAGGGCAGGGTTGAGGGGCTCACCACCTTTCTGGGGTGTAGGAGCTGTCCCAGCGTTCGGTAGGTGCAGAGAACTCAGGGAAAAGGGAGGCCCACGACCTGCCAGTTACCAACCCTGGGCCTCCTCTTTCTCTTGCTGTGTGTCAGGGCTTCCTGAAGCCATGGAGGCTGAGGTGCCAACACTGGGGAGTCTGAGGCAGGCTGCAAGTTAGAGTTCACCTGGGCACTTTAGTGAGCCCTGGCCCCGAGTAGGGTTTCAGGGCAGGGATGCGGGTACAGCAGGGTCCCAGGGCGGCCTCGCAGGTGCAGTCCTGGGGCTGTACAAGAGGAGGCACTGCCCTTTAGCTCCACCTGAGACACCCATGTGTTCCTCGGGCACAGGGGACATCCTCGCCTGGCCATTGGCCAGCTCCAGTGACTGACACACTGTGCAGTGACCACATTGCTGCTGTGCCCTGCACTGGGCCTTCCTCCAAGGCTGCTGGGTCACTGCCCTCACACTCGGCTCCCAGCTAGAGTTCTGCCCAGCACAGTGGCTCCCTGGGCAATGGGTCCAGGCTGGAGCCCTAGGGGCTGGTGGGGTCGGGGCAGCCTGAGTTTGGAGTTTTACCTCCTAGTAGGAGTGTGGATCCCTTGCGTCCAAGGTGCATCCTCTGCCGGAGGGAGGTGATGGGAAGCCGAGGGTCAGCTTGCTTCATTGGGAAGAAAGCCTTTCTATACTTCTCAGACGGGTTGCGCTTGCCGACCAGGCTGGCCTTGAACTTGTGAAATGTAGTCCACACTGACCTTGGGTTCCCAGCAATCCTCCTGCCTCACCCTCCAGGCTGCTTTTTTTTTTCTTTCTTTGAAGAGTAAATGAATTTTTACATTTCTGATTTGAGTAATAATTGAGTTAATTCAGGCCATGTTGCATTAAGGGTCCCAACATCTTACTTTGTTTCATGGGGTTCACCTGGGTGATGCTACATCAAACTGGGTGTTCCTGCTGGGGTGGTATGCATACCTGTCATCCCAGCATTTGGGAGAGTGAGATGAGGGATAGCTGTGAGTGCAAGGCCAGCCTGGGCTACATAGTGAGTTTAAAACCAGCCTGGGCTACACAGTGAGATCCTGTCTCAAAGACTGAAGGAAAACCCCAGCAACAAAACCAGGCGGCATAAGGGTTCCGGGATTGCCTGGTGCCACTGTCTCTGGGCAGGAGCTCTGTACTGAGCTCGAACTGTTGGAAAATGCGGTTATCTGAATGCTAGTAGTGAGGGAGGCAGATGGGATCTGTTCCCATTCGGTGTGGAACAAATGTGCGTACGTCTGAGGAGAAGAGTGTGTAAGTGTCTACTCCTGTATATCTGTCACCAGCATGCTCACATTGCTGGTGACCAGCTGCTTGTGGGCATGGCCTCACACCTTGGTGATGGGAAGCTTTCGAGTTGGCCTCAGCTCTCTGGGGAAGTGGGGACCCCACCCCACACACCCTATACTGCAGGCTGTGGTACAGCTGTCTTTCTGAGCAGAGGCTGGTCTCCGCCTTGCACTGGGTGTGCGCTCTCTGTCTCTCCCATCGGCTGTTTTTGCTGGGTGTACTTTATTGATTTATCACGTAAAATTCACTATTCTCACTTTCTGGGATAGGCCTTGAATTCAGGGCCCTCCTGCTGCAGCCTTTTGAGTGGCTTGGATGGACCGCAGGCGCACACCTTCAAACCTGGCCACGCTAACCACTTGTAAACATATTTCTTAGTTATATTGTTGTGAGAATACAAAGGAGGTGGCAGGCTTAGCCCTGGAACCACTGTGGGCGTACAGCGCAGGTGTGTCATTGCCAGCTGTGTCAAGGACTTCTTGGTCTTCTTTTCCTGCTTGTTTGGCTTGGTTTTGGCCTCACCTCCTCCTGTTCTTGATGGGCCCTGTGCTCCAGCCGCCCAGCAGCAGGGTCCCCGAGTAGGCCAGGCCCCTCAGCCTTCTGGGTGCTGAGTGCCCATCCTGGGCTTGTTTGCTTGATTCTCGGGAGTCCCACCAGGCCTCGTGCTAGGGCTGGGAGTGGGTCCTGAGTCCCATCCCGATGCTTCTGTCTTCACCACTAATTGTCCCTTTAAAAGTGCCCTGAGCCAAGCGAGGAGAGCCAGCTCCTCAGGAGAGTGAGGCAGGAGCATAGCACACTGAGGCCAGCCTGGGTGTTGGTCACCAAGAACTGCCCAAGGAGCACATCAGAGACCCAGAAGCTGTGGAGGGGGAGCTGTGCCCCACTCCCTGCCCAGCTCAGCCTAGCCATGTCCTTCGTACCCACAGGCCATGCACCTGGTATACCGGGCCCTGGAGAAGGAGCCTGTGCCGGCTGCACTGCCCCCGGCACTCATCCCACCATCCAAGCGCAAGAAGCCAGTATTCCCTGGGGCCGTGCCTGTGCTGCCTGGTAGCCCCCCACCCAGGGACAGCCTGCGCTCCACACCCTCACACGGCAGTGTCAGCAGCCTCAACAGCACGGGTAGCCTGTCCCCCAAGCACGGCCTCAAGCAGGCACAGGTGTGTGGGCGCCAGGTGGGCAGGGCAGGGGTGGGCCGGGCTCTGGTGACAGGGAGACATCCCTGTTGCCCCCACCATGGGCTGGGCAGAGGCTGGTGTGCCTGGCCCAAGGCCGCTGCGCTGTGCAGAGCCCCTGCATTGGCCCTAGCCCACATGTCCTGTCCACTGAGCCTCCCCCCCTTGCAGCCAGCGGTGGCATGGGTAGTGCCAGTGGCTGACAAGATGCGCTTCGACGAGATCTTCCTGAAGACTGACCTGGACCTGGATGGCTATGTAAGTGGCCAGGAGGTGAAGGAGATCTTCATGCACTCAGGCCTCACGCAGAGCCTGCTGGCCCACATCTGGTGAGTGGGGGGTTAGCACTTGCCAGGGAAGTCACCTTCTGGTTTGTGCCTCAGAGCTTGGCACCTCTGGGAGACTCCTTGGGGAACAGAGAAGGGTAGCTGGGCACAGCGACAGACACGCCAGGAGGCTGAAGCCAGGGGATTGCAGCTTCCAGTGCAGCCCAGGCAGCTTACACCGTTGTTTTTTAACCAATTTTTGACTTGGGTCTCATTGTGTAGTTGAGGCTGACCTTGAACTCAAAGCAGTCTTCCTACCTTAGCCTCTGAGTACTGCAAGTAACAGCTCTATGGCAAGGCCCTGGGTTCAACCTTTTCGTTCCAAAAGGAAAAGACCTGTGAGCAGAGCCTCGAAACCTAGCCACTCCCCAGGGCTGTTGGCCCTCAGGAGAGGGAGCCCACTGTGCCCTGCTGCCCACTGTCCCCTGCTGCCCATTGTCCCCTGCCCTGGCCCAGGATGATGTAGCAGGGCTGGGCCCATGGCACCTCGAAGGCAGGGATCAGGTGCAGGTATTTTGTCTTTCTGGCTGGAGGACTTTACAGGGCTGCATGGAGCCCAAGGTCAGGGCTGCCTGGGCAGTGCAGAAATGCTCTATGCAGGGACAGAGGGGCTGGGTCCATAGGGCAAGCACATTCGCTGTTGCCCATCCCGTGCAGTGTGGTCCAGGCAGGGCAATGCAGTTCACAATCTGTCTGGTGTCTTCGCACAGCAGGGGTCCCCCTCCCTAGCACCCACTCCCGGTCAGAACAGCAGCCTGGGCAGAGGGACACTGGGGAGAAAGAAGGCTGGGTTACGGCTATGTGACATCCACTTGTCCCCAGGGCCCTGGCTGATACGAAGCAAACAGGGAAGCTGAGCAAGGAGCAGTTTGCACTCGCCATGTACCTTATCCAGCAGAAGGTCAGCAAGGGCCTCGACCCCCCGCAGGTGCTGTCTCCAGACATGGTCCCCCCCTCAGAACGTGGCACGCCGGCCCTGGTGAGTAGCCCAACCCGCCACCAGGGGGCGCTGTCACCCTGCCGGCCTCTGCCGTTGGCTGTGACTGGCCCTTGCCTTCCCCAGGATGGCGCAGGCTCCCTGGGCTCTGGGGAGCTCACTGGGGTGAAGGAACTGGATGACATCAGCCAGGAAATCTCGCAGCTGCAAAGGTGTGTAGGCCCCAACCCCAAACACACTAGGGAGCATCTTTGGCCAAATAGCCAGATGTCCTCCCACCCATGACCTCTTGGCATCCGAAATGCTTAGCCTGTGGTGTGGGGCTTGAGTCTGCACATACCATCCCCAGAATGGTGTGGCGGTGGGGTGCTGGCTCGTCACCTCACAGCTGAGGGCGACTCCTGCTCTGAGCACCCGTGCCAGTCTCTGCAGACCACCCACCTCCCCCCAACCCCCTCACCCACCGACCTGGTCCCCCGGGCTCAGCAGGTCACAGGGTGCCTGCTGGGCGGGGGGCCCTCTGTCCTGGGACCCACTCCAGGGAGGACACTTCCTTTGCTCCCCTTCAGGGTCCCGCTTAGCCTGTGGGGGTCGTGGTGGCTGGCTGATGGCACAACACATGGGAGGGAACCCAGGCTGTTGCTCTCCTCTGGTGGTGACTGATCTTATGGGCTTAACCCACGTGGGTCTCATCCAAAGCTGCACCTGTGACCTGACTCTGGGCCAGCTGCATGGGACATGTGGCCACCTAGCACGGAGTGTGGTCCTGAAACCTCTGTGACTGCAGGGGGACTGCATGGGCAGGGATGCCAGGGATTGCAGCGTGCTGTGGCTTGACTGACCTGTATCTTGCTGCCAATTGCATCCCGTCCAGGGAGAAATACTCCCTGGAGCAGGACATCAGGGAGAAGGAAGAAGCCATCAGGCAGAAGACGGGTGAGGTACAGGTAGGCATGGGACTCAGCATCCTCCTGCCTCAGCCTCCCAGAATGCCGGGGAGATAGGCCTGTGCATCACACCCAGTGGTGTTTCCTCAAATTGGGCTCCCTTGGGTATCCTGGTCTTGAGGCTGATCTTGAGTCCTCCTCGGTCTTCACAGGAGCTGCAGAATGACCTGGACCGGGAGACCAGCAGCTTGCAGGAACTTGAGGCCCAGAAGCAGGATGCCCAAGACCGGCTGGATGAGATGGACCAGCAGAAGGCCAAGCTCCGGGACATGCTGAGCGATGTGCGGCAGAAGTGCCAGGATGAGACACAGATGGTGAGTGGTGGATGGCTTGGTCATTGCTGCTCCTCCCCATGCTCCCAGGCCAGCCTGAGTCGGCCCCATTGCCCCTTGGTGGCTCCAAGTCTCCTCTCATGGCCGGGCCTGGCTTTGCCACTTGTCTTGGACAAGGTGTGGTGGGTGGTCCCAGCTGGGCTTTCCCGAGAGTAAGGAGCCCTCTTGATCCCTGTGTGAGTTGGCGTGAAAGGGTGTGTTAGGGCGTGTGTGTGGCACTGACATTAGCCAGAGCCTCCCATGGTCCTGGAGTGGACCCTCAGCCTGAGAAGTCCAGCATCACTGCCTGCCATCCACTGTAGATCTCTTCGCTGAAGACCCAGATCCAGTCGCAGGAGTCGGACCTTCGGTCACAGGAGGATGATCTGAGCCACGCCAAGGCGGAGCTGGGCCGGCTGCAGCAGGAGGAGACGCAGCTGGAGCAGAGCATCCAGGCTGGGCGCACGCAGCTGGAGACCATCATCAAGTCACTCAAGTCCACGCAGGACGAAATCGGCCAGGTGCCTGTGTGGCGATGCTGCTGCTGCCGCCGGTCTGGGCCAAGGTCACATGGGGAGGGCAGGCTGGAGGACCACAGCCCTGACGCCTGTGTCCCTGTCATGCAGGCACGGAGCAAGCTGTCCCAGCTGCATGAGAGCCGGCTGGACGCACAGCGCAGCCTTGAACAGTACGAGCGGGCACTGGATGGTGCGGGCCTGGCAGAGCTGGCTGCCCTCAGTGAAGGCGTCGCCCTGGCTGAGAGGGGTGGCTTCGGAGCCATGGTAAAGGTTGGGTGAGCGTGTGTGGCTTCCGCCACCTGCCACCTGCCGTCCACCCCAACAGAGCCCCAAGGCCTGGTCACCCTGGACAGGGCTCCCCTTGCAGGGACACATGCACTTCCACTCCATGGGGTGTCCCCTGAGTATTGTTTCTGCCACCTCCGCACTTCACCCCAGACTACTGCCCTGAGCCCTGTGTTTCCTATCATGCTCGTTCGCTCTGTGCCCACTGCTGGGTCTCCTCTGCTGTGGGCCCGCGCACTTCCTCTGTCGCCTGCCTCTTGAAGCTGCTGCTTGGTGTCCGTGTACACTGGGGGATGGGCTCCCTCCTGGTCTTTGTCGCCAGCTTGGTCAGTTGGGCTTGGGCCCTGAGCTGCTCCCCCACCCACCAGTGCCCTCCCTCCCTGGTGTTTCCTGCTGTGCTGCCCTGTCCCGTGCTGTCTGGTGTCCTTGGGGAGATAGGTGGCCCGTGCTGCCACCCCGCCCTCAGGTCCCTGTCTTGTCCCGCTCTCCTTGGTCACCTCTGAGCTGCCAGCGAGATACCCCCCCCCCCCGTGCAAATACACTTGTGAAACAGCTCGCACAGTTGTTTCCATTTCTTCACAAGCACAGCGGCGTCAGCACCCGTGCGCTTCAGAGTGAGCGCCGTGGTTCTCGGGGCACGGGCAGTGAGGGGTGCCTGGCTCTGCAGACCTGGGCCTGGGTGTGGCCACTCATCCTCCTCTGCTCACTCCCTGCCCACGTGGAACCCCAGCTCCAGGGAGCACTCAGCCCTTGTGCATCCCCCCACAGGACAGGGCTGTCTTGGTGAGCCCTGCTGTGCTTGGTGCATGGCACCCCTGGGTTGAGGGGACAGCTCTGTCTGCACACCCCATGCCAGCCAGCTCGGTCCCTTCCATGGTGGCCTTGGGTGGCAGGGCCATGGTGTCTGCCATCCCGGGAGAGTGCTCGATCCAGCTGCACCGTGCATCTCTTTCCCCAAGTGGGGTTCCTCCTGTCGTGGGGTGTCCCTCACCTCTCAGTGGGCCCCAGCACACCGCCCCACCAGCCCTTCTGCACCATCGAACACCATAAACTCTTGTCTCCTGTGCGCATATGGCCTGTTCTGAGACAGGCCTGGCCAGTTAGTCCATCCTTGCACCACATCCACCCCATCCAACCCATGGGATCTCCCCAGCACCGTTGGTCCATGCCTGCCCCCTACTGTACTCCACTGGGCAGAACATGGAGGAGGCCTATGGCCTCAGCTTCTGACTCCCAATTCCAGGGCCTGTGCTCGTGTTTGGGGTCTTCTTAGCTTCCCCAGGCCCAGCTGGGTTCCTCCCAAGGAGGGAAACCTGGCAAGTAGAGGGAGACCAGCCCAGGTCCCCAGCACCCCAGGCCACACACAGCCTGGGAAGGGACCTGTGACTTTTTTTTTTTTTGGGACCCCCGACTTTGGAGTCTGCCTATACCATCGTCCCACACTGGGTCCCCAGCCAGCCCTAGCCACCCTGACTGAGCGGTGCCTGCTCCTGGGCCAGGCAGGTCCTCAGAAGGCTGCTGCTCTGCTTTTCCCGCCCCCAGCCCGAATCTGCTGTGGAAAAGTGCTCTTCAAAAGTCATTATTTTTTTCTCCTGGTTTGAATATGCTCGCTTGCTTCTAGAAATAAGCACCTTTTTTAAAAATGCAAAGTGCCATGCACGCTCTAGTAGCTGCAACTGCAGCAGCCCTTGTTTCCTCACTGACAGCCCACTTCTGGGCAGAGGAAGTACGTTTTCATGTGTGTATATATAATGTTTCTTCTTTTGGCACAGGAGGTGGAACCCAGAGCCTTTGCACTGAGCTGTACCCAGGACCTTTCCCTTTTTTTTTTTTTTGAGATGAAGTCTCACTGAGCAGTTCAGGATGGTCTTGAGGTCACTGTGTAGCCCAGGGTGGCCTTGAAGGCACAGTGATCCCCCTGCCTCAGCCTCCCGAATGCTGGGATGACAGGTGTGAGCCATCGCATCAGGATCAACTTTTTCTCTGAGACTGCTTCTAGCTTTGTAGGCAAGGCTGGCTTTGAACTCAATTTGTGGCCCAGGTTGGCATGGAACTCACAGTGATCCTCCTACTTCAGCCTCCGAGTGCTGGGATGATAGGCATGTGCTTTTCATACTTCTGAAATTTGAAGACAAGGCTCGGGCTTACACTTGTGCCCTCTAGAGTGCTGGGGTCATGGGTTCCAGGAACTGTTTTACCCAACTGCCCAGGTACATGTTTGCTGGCAGCCAGATGGACGTCATACCTCTGGAATGGTTCTTTTTTGTTGTTGTTGTTTGTTTTTTGGTACAGGGACGAACTCATGACTTCACAGTTGCCAGGCAGGCACTTACACCACTGAGCTAAATCCTCAGCCCTGGAGTGGTTCTTGAGGCTGCCTGTAGGACAGTTTCATCATTGTCTCTTTCTGACACAGGGATTGAGCTTTACCTAGCTAGGCACCGCTCTCTAGTTTTCTTTTTCTTCCCCTTTCTTTTTCTCTCTTTCATTTGAGATGTCTCACTACATCTCCAAGGTTGGTCTTAAAGTCCTGAGCTCAAGGGATCATCCTGCCTCAGCTTCATGATTGTAGTCACAGATGAGCACTCGGGGCCTAGCTCTAAGAAAGCAGAGCTTTAGAAATTAGTCTTGCTGAAACAGATGTGACAGAAGTTTGTGGCTTCGTCACCCTGCAGTGCTCACCAGTCAGCCGCCAGTTCAGCAGCTAGGGCCACTGCCCTTGAGCCTTCTCATGATGCAGGCAGACTCCATGCTGTCCGTCCCCTCCGTGCTACATCACCTCTGCCCCTGCCGAGTCCCACTCCTCTGCTGCCCGCCAAGTCTGTAATTTATCAGGGTGCCTCCTGACCTGGCCGTGTCAGGTGCTCAGTGACAGGAGGCCTCGCCTTCACCCCAGGGCCTCCCAGCATGGTTGGTGCTATCGAGGTGTGGAGCCTGCACCCTGCTGTCAGCTGGGGTGACCGCGCCTCTGTCCTGTGTCTCCTCGGCATTCTAGGATGACCCTTTCAAAAGCAAAGCCTTGTTATTTAGCAACGATGCCCAGGACCTGCCCCCGGATCCCTTCCAGGCAGAGGACCCCTTCAAGGCTGATCCCTTCAAGGGTGCAGACCCCTTCAAAGGTATCCTCGGGGTCCCCAGGGCCCAGTTACAGTGGCAACAGGGTGGGGGTGGGGGCTCTGGAACCAGCACTGGGCTTCTCCGAAGTGCCCCAGCCACACCAGCTCGGGACAGACTGCAGAGGAGCTGGGACTTGGATGCCGGGATGGATGGCCCCAGGCCTCGGGGTCCCCTCCCTTCGGGATTGAAGGACATGGGGGGTGGGGGAGGGGCGTCCCCAGGGCTCCCCCCAGTGCCTGCCTCATGTGGGGAGTCCCGCTCAGCTGCCACCCTTGCTGCAGGTGACCCGTTCCAGGGCGACCCCTTTGCAGAGCAGCAGGCGGCGGCTGCAGGTAAGGAAGGCCCATCTGTGTCTTGGGGGCCCCAGGCCACACCTTCCCACAGCTTGGCTTCTTGTGGTCTAGTGGGCAACAGTGCAGTCTGTGGCCGCCCTGGGGACCACAGCTGCCCTCCTGGTAGCACCTTTGCTTGATTAAGAGACCTGGGGCTCCCAGTGGGATGCTAGGAGCACGTGCCAGCCCCCCCCCCCCCCGCACCCCGGCAGGCACAGACAGCTCTGGCTAGTCCCAGACCACATGACGGGCTGGCCTTGTCTCATGTCCAGGGATGCAGTGTGTGGGGAGGCCACTCCGTGTTCTGATAGTGGCGCTGTGTGACCCCAGGCCTGCAGCCTGCAGCGCCTATGATATGGTCCCTGCCTTCCGAAGCCACTCCTCATTTCTCCTCCTGGCATGCATCCCTTCAGTGTCCCCATTGCCCTCCAGATCCGTTTGGGGGGGACCCTTTCAAAGAAAGCGACCCATTCCACGGCTCGGCACCTGACGACTTCTTCAAGAAGCAGGTGAAGGGCGACCCATTCACCTCAGACCCCTTCACGAAGACCTCATCCCTCCCTTCGAAGGTGAGCCAGGGGAGTCTGGATGTAATGGCCGGGCTTCCTTCTGGACAGCCAGGCAGCCACCCGGCCCACCCTGCAGAGTGTCACACTGAGATCGGCCTCACATTCAGTGTCCAGTGACCCAGGGTGAGCTAGAGCAAGTCCCCTCTGTCCCTCTGTGTCCCCCAATTCTGCGCTGTTAGCTGTCCCCACTGCCATCCCACCTTCTGAAGAGACAGCAGAACCCTACACTGTGGGGGACAGTGGTACACACTCACAGCTTTGGCTCTTCTTTGGGAGGCTGATGGTTGGAGGATCACTTGAGTCCAGGAGCTGTGGACCAGGGGGCCACATGGCGAGATCCTGACTGAGCACATACCAGGCTGTCACCCAGACCAATGTCCTCTGGTCCCCAGGATCTTCCTGGGGTGTGGCATTGGAAGGAGTCCTGAGGGTGCCTCAGAGGAGCAGTTCTGCTTTAGGAGGAGAGGCTTCCTTGCCTCTGCTGAGCTGATGAGGTGCATGGGGTGGCTGCTGCAGCTCTTCCCATCCAGCCCCTACGTACCTGGGTTGCATCCACAACCAGGCCTGGATCAGGCTGCACCCAAGGCTGGCCAGATTTGAGCCCAGGCCTGGACAGCTACCCGTGGCACCAGGGCTGCAGACTCCAGAGGCCCCAGGCCCAGGCCTTCCGTGCTGGGCCTGTCGCCCCCTCCCCAGCTGATGTGCCATCCCCTGCTTTGGCCATTGGACAAGTGGTGCCCGCAGGGCCCATCTGGCAGCCAAGGCTGCTGCGCCTGGCAAACCTCACCCTCTCTCCCCAGCTCGACCCCTTCGCGTCTAGTGACCCCTTCTCCTCCAGTGCGACGGCCAAAGGCTCAGGTGAGGCCTGCCCTCTCCCTGGCTCCTTAGTACAGGTGCACCCGCAGAGGGCGAGGGATCGGGGTCTCTGAGTCCCCAGGGCAACCGGCCTGAGCCTGTGGCCAAACCAGTTCCCAGGAAGTGGGGGACAGGCACTGGGAGACCCCTTCCCACTTCCTTTTTACTTGGAGACGAGGTCTCTCAAATGCATGTCTTCCTTCCTCAGTCTCTGAGTGCTGGGATGAGTGCTGTGGCACCTGAGTCAGCACTGTTACTGTTCCCTGGGCCTCTTGGTTTGGGTCTTTAGTTTCCCCCAAGAGTGTACAATTGAACCCAGGCCCTGGCTCGAGCTCGGGACAGGAGAGGTATTGGGCCCAGCCCTCTCTGCCTGACAACTACACCCCTTGGGCCACCCAGCCAGACTCTGTGTGCTGGGCACTGGCCACCAGGTGGCTTCTCATGTGCTAGGGCATGCTACTCATCCCTGGCTGAGACCACCTGTGCCTTGCAGACCCCTTCGGGACCCTGGACCCCTTCGGGAGCTGGGCCTTCAGCAGCGCCGAGGGCTTTGCTGACTTCAGCCAGATGGCCAAGGTAGTGCTCCAAGGATGGCTGGGCTTTTCCGGGGTAGAGGGACAGGGCCCTTGGATTGGCCCCTAGGCAGGGCCATAGCTGCAGCCCTAGGATCCTGTCCTCGGGGATGGGAGAGGCAGCTGCCACAGGGTCCCTGGTCAGCTGCGCTCACCCTGTGTGGGATGTGTGTCCCCATGTCCACAGGGAGCACAGGCATGCGGGCCCCTCCCGTGAGCACTGTTGCTGCACGGTGCTGCAGGCTCGGCCCAGAGATGTCCATCTGCTCATCCATCCATCTGACTGTCTGTCTCTGTGCCCATGGCTATGTGCCCTCTGTACAAGGTTATTGGCCCTCAGTGTAGCCCAGGTCCCCACCCTTCCTTCCAGCTCCCCCACCCCACCGGGGCTACACTGCACTGGCTGGGCTTTGGAGGAGCTCACGGATTCCCGGGTCTCCCCAACACTGTCCAAGGAGGGGTCCCCCTCCTGCGTCCTCTGTGCAGCCCCACAACCTCTGAGAGCCGGCAGGGTGAGCTGGGACAGGGCCCTGAGCCAGGCGGCACTTCAGGAGGACCTGATTCCGGACGTGTCCGCACCGGCCGTGGGCGGCAGGGGCAGGAGGACAGGCAGCTCGGCCTGGCTCTTTGGAAGCAGCCACTCGGTCCTGCTGTCTCCACGACACAGGCTGGGCCAGGGCGCAGGAGGCCGGGTCCCTGTGGGCCGCGCGCTGATTTTCAAGAACAACAGCAGGGTATAAATAAATGTGGAGGAAATGAAAGTGCGCGCGGCGGGTGTTTGCTTTCTGAGCTTTCTTCTGTTCAGGCCCTGCATCCCCTCCTGAGGGCCCGGGCTTGGGGCACATCCCTGCTCCCTGCCCCAGCCCTGCACCCCTCGCCCCACCCAGACCGTGCCCCGCCCTGCCCTCCCCGAGATGCTGACAGATAGCGCTGACCTCAACCACACAGCTTGCTTGAAAAACATGGCCCCAAACATGTTTTCAGAGTGCGCTGAGAACAAAAATAAGAGTGGCTGCCTGGCATGGCCTCTTTGTCCCCTCCCACTCTGAGAACCTCCACAATGCCTGGGCTTGCTTGGTGGCACTCAGTGATCCCAGGCTGAGCAACCTTCTCTCTGCCCTCCCTGCCTAACACCCCACCTGGCCCCACGCCTCTATAAACTGGGCTAAACTGGGTCCTGTCGCTTAGCTTGGGCTCGAAAAGTGGGGAGGGTATGACACTGGAGCCATCGCCTTGGAGTAAGGCGCAGGGCACTGTCACCCTACAGGCCCAGCTCAGTGACATCGCAGTGGCCCTGATGCTGCCACCTGGTCCAGGGCAGGGGACCTGCCAGGCCCCTGACAGGATGCCCGAAGCCAGGGCAGAACCCTCTCTGTGCCTGGGGAGGGCTGGGGTGCTGCTGCTTCTTGCTGCAGCCTGCAGACCTTGCTGTCCCCTACCCCGGTAGGATGTGCACAGGGTGTCCCCAGACCTGTGCCTGCCCCAGAACAAGGCCCACATTTCCCCTGCACATGTACAAGGGGACTCGAGGAGAAAAGTGCAGGGCTGTCCCTCACAATGCTGTGGTGTACTCTTCCAGATCCAGGGGTCTGGAACTTTCCTTGTAGTGGTGTCAGGCCCAGTGGCCAACACTAGAAAAAAAGGCATGGGGAAGAGTTGACCGCCAAGTCCTCCAGCACCCCAGCATGTCACTTGCTTCTGTCACTGCCCAGAGAGGGGGGCTGGGTCTGCTGTCTTATTGACAACAGCATGCATGATCCCCGCTGCTTGGAGGCATAGGTGGAGATGGAGGCGAGTCCCGAGTTTGAGGCCAGATTGGGTAGTCCAGCAGTGCTGCCAAAACCAGGAGGCTGTGGCTGGGGCCAGCACTTGCTTAGCCTGCTCGAGAGCCTGGGTCCAACCCCAGCCCTGCAGCAAGTGAGGATGGGGGAAACTGAGGCACACCAGTCTGTTGGAAAGGACCCCTGTGTGAGGCGAGGCTGAAAGCTGCATCCTACTGTGTGGGAATCACCTGGCGGGAGGCCCTGCTTCCTCCCCTCCAAGGGTGGGAGCCCTACATGCAGAAGGAGGCCCTACATGCAGATCCAGCCCGACCATCCTGTGCCTCAGTTTCCCCGTGTGTATAGCAGGCTGGGAGGGAAGGCAGAGAGGATGTCACCTACCTGGGCAGCTGCAGGGATCTGAGGTGAGGGCTGGGCTCCACAGGGCAGTGACTGTGTTCTTGGACAGAGATGGCAGCCACAGGAGGGTGCCACCTAATCTAGGCCGCATTTGGCAGCCCAGGAACGTGGAGAGGACCTCAACCTCCACTGAGCAGTAGGAGGTGGCTCAGGGCCTTCATGCATGGGCACGGCCCACGTGTGGTGACGGTTGCATCTGGTGTCTCTCTTACAGCCCCCAGCCTCAGGCCCCTTCTCGTCCTCCCCGGCAGGGCCCGGCTTCTCCAATGACCCCTTTAACAGTAAACAGGACACGCCCGCTCTGCCACCGAAGAAGCCTGTGCCGCCAAGGCCCAAGCCACCCAGCGGTCAGTATGCACCCCCACCGTGCCCGGTGTCCCTCGCAGGCTAAAGACCTTGCTGTCTTCCCCCGCTCCTGCCCTTGGCCACCTGACCCACACGAGCCCCACCCCAGGGCCCTATGCTGGCTGGGGTGGCAGAAGGTCACTGTTGCCCTGACCGCGGCTGTCCATGGCCAGCTATTGGGGTACTCCTGTGACACACCAGCCTCAGCTGTATGCGTGATAGTCAGGTGGGAGCACACTCACCTGTGTGTACATGTGCAGATCAGTACTGCACGCGGGCCCAGGGGAACAGCAGCCACAGGGCAGGATCCGGCTGGGGAGTCCTGCAAGGTCCCTGTGTGCAGGCGGGGTGCAGGGCTGAGCATCCTCTGCTTCCCCTGCAGAGGTGGAGGCCAAGCAGGACAGCCCTGGGCGGTACGCGCTGCTGGGCGGTAGGTACAGGCCAGGTTGGCTGCCCCCAACAGCCTGAGCTGCCCGACTCCCACCGCCTCTCTCCCTTCCTGCTGCCTGCATGGATGAGTAGTGTGCTCACTGCCTTGGGCTCTGATTCAGCCTGTGTCCCCTGAGAGGGGTCTCCCTCGGAGCTTGGGTTCACGGTGGTACTCCCAGGCCCTGAGGCTGCAAGGATACCTCGGGCTGACCTGTCCCTTCCTGGGCCAGATCTCTTCGCTGGGGGCCGGGGCCCTCACTGGTCTTGTTTAGCCATGCAGCACAGAGCCATGGGGACACAGGGGCTGCTAGGAGAGAGGCTGTCCCTGGGAAGCCATGCAGGGATGGGGATGGTTGGTGTCACCTGGCTGCTCCTGGACTTTGGTGCTGGGCCCCGTGTGGCTGCTTAACCAGCTGCTGACCCATCCCGTGCCCTGGCAGAGGGTGCAGCCTCCTCCAGCCTGTTTCCCAGCTGGCTCCAAGCTCTGGCACTGGTGTGGGTGGGCGCCCTTAGTGTGCGAGACCTTGCCAAGCACGTTGGAGAGTGGCGTGCAGCAGAAGGGAAGGGGTGGCTTTGGTCCCTGCTGGCCCTGGTGGGTGCTCAAGTGTTGTGGGAGTTGCAGACTAGGTCGAGGCCTCTGTGGGGGAGGCTGGGTTGCAGAAGGATGGGCCGCACTGTCACTGTCCCTGGGGGCCTTCCCACTCTGCACCACAGGGCTGATCCTGCCCAGCTTCACACCAGCTCCAGAACTCCAGTCCTCCTGCCACCTGTGCAGGCTGCGCACCCAGCCCAGGGCTTTCTAGAAAGGGCCTCCCAGCCCAAGGGCATAGCTCCCAGGCAGGTGCAAAACAGCCCCACAGCCCGAAACCTGGCCGTTGGCTCGGTGGGCTGGTGCACACCTCCCACAGGTAAACAACGGTGTGCTTTGTGCAACGGACCGGAGCTTGAGATCACTCAGCGCACCCGGAGTTTCTAGGTAAAAGTTGTTGACTTGCACAGAGAGAAACAGATTTTTTTAAGCGCAGGAAGCGGCTGTGTGGGTGTCAGTGATTGGGCCCCCGCCACGCTGCGATAGTGGGATGGGGAGCAGCCCCACCCTGCCACTTCCTGCCGGCAGCTGGCCTGCGGTTCCTGCAGCCTGGTGACACCAGCTCACCAGCCAATAACCTTTAACCTCTCCCCATGGTGCCCCGTGGGCAGCCTGTCCTTCACCTGCAGGAGATGGGGGAACCCATGACCCACACCCAGGTCACCCTGCCCTGGGGATGGGACCCTCTGCACCCAAGCACAAGACCCACCCGACAGCCTTGGTTTCCCTGTTGCGGTCACCTTGACAGTGGCATCCCAGGGCGGCTGCCCTAGGACAGGCTGAGGAGGAGACCAGCGTCCCTGGAGGATACAGCCCCTCCTCTGCCCAAGTTGAGGTCAGCACCGGGCTCTCCCCGTGTCCGCCGTTACACCCTGAAACCTCTTGCTGGTTGCATAAGATCCACTTTTAAAATGCCATCTCCAGTGTACTGTGCGGTTAGCACCTTGGCCCTCGACTCAACTACTCTAATTCCGTTCCCACGATGATCTCACAGAGATAGGCACGGGCTGGCTCCTTCGAGAGTCAGATCCCTATCCCCTGGGTGGCTCTGGATGCAGAGCCCTGAGGGCCTGGACCTGCAGCTCTGCCTGGGGTGGGCCCATCCTGGGGTTCCAGCAGGAGAGGCATTGCTGGCACTGGCCCTGCGTGCTGAGCATCGTGGATGCCTCTGAAAATAGCCACTTTTGCCTGTTGGGTCCTCGTCTGCCCTCCTGTACTGCAGAGCAACACTTTTGGGTGCCGTGTGACTTGCCTATCCCATGGGGTGCACTGGGGGGCAGGCGCCCCAGGATGGAGGCTTCCCATCCCCAGTTCACACCACACTAGGGCCCAGGTCAGCATCCCCCTTCCAGACCTGCGCGGCCCCTCCAGGCTTTCAGGGCTCCCTAAGGGCCTCCCGGGAGTACCCGGTGTCCCCGCGCCCACGTGCCCCTGCCGCGGCAGACAGTACCCTCGGGTGATCACGCGTGGGTGCGGGGCCTCCCCGCCTTGCATAGTGGCTTCCCAGCCCTGCAGGGAGGAGCAAGCCCCACTCTGTACAGGGCTCCCCAGCATCTATGCAGATAACTTCTCCACAGCCCCTCACTGGTAGCCCCTCAGCTGCCATCAGTGTGCTCCGGGGACGCAGGCTGGGGCTCAGATGCACTTCTAAGTCTACCAGCACCACCCACCACGCTGCCCCTGGCCTCTGGCCAGTGTAGCCCCACTTCTGCAGGTTCCCTAAAAATGTCATAGGAGCCTTTGAGTGATAGCTCCAGAAAAAGTTGTGTTCAATTTTGAAACAGGGTCTTGCACTCTTGCTGAGCCTCCTGCCTCAGCCTCCTGTAGTGTAGGGATAACAGGTGTGCTCCAGTGCGCCTGCCAAAGCAGTCTTTGTCGCTTCAAGTCAGACTCGCCTGAGTGAACCCCGCCAGTGCACCACTCCCCACGGCCGCTGGGCTCCACGGCCCGGGCCCAAACCTCATCCTGTGCTTTCAAAGCACTCAGCGGGTTTTCTTCAAATTCAGTAAATATTTTTAGTGGAAAATCTCAACACCTTGATCTTGGGGCCCTAGATGTTATCTCTGGCTGTGCTGCCTAGCACCCTCTGATCTTGCAGGGTCACCTCGGGCCTCCCCCTGCTCCCAGGGCCACCGAATGGCCTCCTCCACTGACTTGGGCAGGGTGTGTCGTGTGGGACAGGGGCAGTATGAAGATGTCCACGCCATTGTGTGGGGCCTTCTGACAAGCAGTGTGGGATGGTTATGGGTGCAGCTGTCATCTGGGAAGGTCCAGCCCTGTGAAGGTGATGGCCCAAGGATGGCCCGTGCTTGTGTGTGGTGGGGACAGTTTTGTGCCCCTGGTGCTGCAGTGGAGCACTGCCCCACTGTCCTATGCAGCGCAGTACATGGTGTGAATGTCATGCAGCTTGGGTCCTTCCCTGTCCCTGCTTGCTGTGATCGCCTCCACGGCCCTCGGGGTGCGGGCACTGTCTTCTCGTCCCCTCAGAGAGCCCTATGCCAGCTGGCAGTATCCTCGCTGCACTGCCTGTGTATGCAAGGGACCTGGTGTCCCTGGCTCTCCTTGGCCTGAGTCCTCCGCTTTCTCCCTGGGACCCTTAGTAGGTTTCCTGGAAAGCCCTGTCTGTCCACCCCGGCCCTGGCCACCCGCCCTCTCTCCCTCCCTCCCGGGAAGCTGTGCAGGGTGGGGTGGCCGGTACTGCTGCTGCTGCTGTGGTAAACCAGCCGCTCACATTGTTTTTGCCGAAGTCAGTGCTGTGTGTGGTTTCGGTACACCGCGTGGGTAACTGTTGAAACTGCTGTGGTTTGGAAATAAGTTGTATTTTACTGTTTCTCGAGTCCTGCATCCCGCTCTCCTGGCCGGCCGAGGGGACCGGGTGGGGGCCGCTGTTGGCGTGGCTTCCCACTGGAGCCAGCCCTGCTCTGCGGTGGGCCCTCTGCAGGTCCTTAGGGAATAAGATGCCAGGCTGCGTGCCAGAGGCAACCTGGCCGGGTGTCACACTGATGAGATTTTGCTTTGTTTTGGTTTGATTATTGAGACAGAGTCTCTGTGCATATTGCACAAGACCCTCCTGCCTCAGCCTCACGAATGCTGAGGTCAGTGGTGTGTTCCAACGCCACACCTTAGGAGAGCTCCAGAGATGCTGTCAGACCTCGCCCCACCCTAGAACCCAGCCTCCTTCCTTGCTCCCGATCCCTACTCCCATCCTGGCTGACTGTGTCATGGCTGAGATAAGCCCTGCCTCAGAGAAATTGGGAAGCCGATTAGGAGTAAGCAGAAGTGGTTATGTAAAAGCAGGAACCAACCACATGCCCGGGACGTGTGCCGCTAAAATTACCCTGTGCCAGCCAGGCTGCCTGGCCCTGCCAGCAACACCCACAGGGCAGCCCTGGCTGGGACATGGCCAAGCGCAGACCGTCTTCCTCCCAAAACAAAACAAAACAAAAAAAAAGCGCAGGGCAGCCATTGCTGTGCCCTGGTTTTGTGTGAGCTCAGCCACGTTTCGTGACACAGTCTCCCCAAGTGGGAGGGACAGTGATGATGGATCGTGGCCTGCAGGTGACTCATGAAGTGCTGGGGGACCCTGACTCTAACCTGGGAGTTGGGCCTCTTGGATCACAGTCTCCTCCATCTGCCAGACTCCATCCCCCCCCTGCCCCCGTCCCCCGCCAGCATGGGCGTGCCCTAGGCCCCGGAGTGGCCCACGGGAGCGTCCCCATGGTGTGTCCCCCCTCCGATGAGGACAGGCTGATGGCCTGCAGCTCAAGGTGGCACAGGCAGCTTGTGACTATGGGTATGGAACACTCTGGTCCTTAGGACCATGGGAGAAGGGTGGGCTTCAAAGACTGTATAGGGGCAGGGACACCTGTGTCAAAGGCGCATCAGCTCCTGGGCCTCCCTTCTGGCTGCCGGGATCCTGCTCCACCGGGTGTTGGGTGCTGCCCGCTGTGCTAAGTCATCCCGAAACTACTATTGAACTTTCTATTGAAGTCGCGGGGCTCAGTGGCTGAGCCTGAATCTGGGGGCCACGTGGGGTCTCCGCCCTCAAGGCTGTGCATCACCAGGTCCAGCCCGATATCTCTGTCCCTTCTTGGTGTTGGAAGCATCAGGATCCTTCCAGTGAGTGGTTCTGCACGGCCTCGGTGACAGTTGAGCTCTTTGTGGTGACCACACCTGCCCTGCCAGCTATAGGGAGGCTGAGGCAGGAGAACCTTCAGGTCAACACTGGCTTGCGCAACCCAGCGAAACCCATCTCAAAATAAAAACATTGAGGGGTGCAGCTCGGGGGGTGGGGGAGGGCACTTGCTTTGGCACATTCCAGGCCCAGGTTCCTTCCCAGCACCTCGAAACACAAAGGGAGAAAATACTGAAGCTCAGCCTGCTTTCTGCTGGCCTGTCAGCCACCCACACAAGAACTGCATCGCCACAGCTCCGAGCTCCGATGCTCTGCATCCATGTGTATGCATGTGCCTGTGCTGATGCCCCTCTGGCTGTCAGGAGCACTCCCGCAGCATGCAGGCCCTGCTCTGGGGCAGGACTCAGCAGAGAGCAAGCCCTGTCCCAGCCTGCACCATGTGGTAGTAATGTGTGTTTCCTTGGTTTTCGCTCCTTCTCCTCCCTGTTCTAGGTAAAAGCACACCCGTGAGCCAGCTCGGTTCTGTAGATGGCCCCGAGCCCCCCGACCCGTTCCAGCCACTTGGGGCCGACAGCAGTGACCCATTCCAGCATAAAAAGGGGCTGGGGGACCCGTTCAGTGGGAAGGACCCCTTTGTCCCCTCCTCCTCAGCAAAGCCGTCCAAGGCCTCTTCCTCCGGCTTTGCCGACTTTGCCTCTGTAAGTTGAGTCCCTAACACCTGGATGCACCCCTTCCTGCCCCTGCTTGCAGTTTTCTGGGATGACTTTTAGGGTGAATCTGCAGCTCTTCCCGATGTGCTCTCTGTTGCCAGGTCCTTGCCCCTAGTGGCGCTCGGGCAGGGCAGAGGACTCTGGGTCCTGCTTGGTCACCTCTGGAGGTCAGGGTGCCATACACTTTCCCAGTGCGGTAATCAAGCACAGGGCCCAAGGCACAAGCCGAAGCCAGCAGTGGGAGAGTGCTGTAAGGGCTTCGACTCCTCTAGGAGAGGACCTGGAGCCCCGGGCAGGGCATTCGCCTTCTCGGAAGCCGGCCTGGGCTCTAACAGGTGGGCCTCTGGGTGTGGTGTTTGAGACAGCCTGGCTATTTAGCCGAGGCTGGCCTGGAACTTGTGGAGATCATCCTGCCTCAGTCTCCTGAGGGTTGGGACCACTGGAGTGTGCCAGTGGTTCACCCTATGGAAGGAACTCAGAGCCCTAGGATGTAGCTTGGAAGCTTGGGTTCCACCCTAGTGCCAGAACACAGAGCCAGAGCCTAGCCTGTGGGATCCACTGTCTGGAGGCCACCTGGCATCTTGCTCGCTGCAGCGGGTGTCTCACAACCCAAATGGCACACTAGGGCTGTGACCCCAGCAGCAGAGGTGCAACCTTGACTCGAGGAGTTCTGGCCACAGTGTCCTGGAGGGACACTGGCGGGGCCGTACCCCAGAGCCGCTCAGGTGAGGTTGGGGTGGGACCTGATGGCTCCTGGGAGAGGGGCCGCTGGGCCCAATGAGCACCCAGTGAGACTGAAGTCTTGCACCTAGGCTGTGCCCCCACAGGCCCCTGGGGGACGGGCCTGCAGTGTCCACCCTCGGCTTGCCTGTACTCGGAGCTGTTCCTGAGAAACTGCTTCCTCAGGTGGCATCCCAACACTCAGGAGGTTGAGGCAGGAGGATCACAAGCTCCAGCCCATCCCAGGCAGCTTAGCCAGGGCCTCTCAGAAACTAGAAAGGCCAGGGCTAGGGCTCAGCGTGAAGATTCGAGGCTCCCTTCCAGGGTCACAGGATCCACAGAAAGCTGAGGCTTAGCCTGTATGAGGCTGCCAGACCCTGCTGGGGGCAGTGGGAGACCCCAGTGGAGGGGGGCTGGGTTGCCACTGGGCGTGGCACATTCACAGTGAAGGGGTTCTCATGCTGTGGCCCACGGCTCTGAAGAAGAAGGAGGGACGCAGGGAACCTGCAGACCCTGCTTTCTGTGAGGGCCCCTGTGTGACACTCCTGGCCGGGTTCAACTTCCTCAGCCATGGCTTGTTGGTTTTTCCTTGTCTTGCCCCCATCAGGTGTTGGAAAAGTCCCCAAGCCGGGGTGCGGGGCGCCTCCCTCCAGGCTCACTCCCACCTGGTCTGGGTCCCTCTTCCCCCTAGGCCCCGATGGACAGCTACTTCCAGCGGCTGCGCAGGGGTCTGCGCAGTTTGCACCCCACTCAGAAAGATGGGGTGGGAGGTGGGCTTGGGGGGTTGCAGGGTGGTGGGCACCCCGCTCCCGGCAGCCGTGACCGCCCCTCCCCTCCTTTGCAGTTCGGCAACGAGGAGCAGCAGCTGGCCTGGGCCAAGCGGGAGAGTGAGAAGGCGGAGCAGGAGCGGCTGGCACGGCTACGGCAGCAGGAGCAGGAGGACCTGGAGCTGGCCATCGCCCTCAGCAAGGCGGACATGCCAGCCTGACCCCGGCCCGCCGCCCTGGCTGTACAGAGTGAAGTCGGAATGAGGGATATAAAGTATTTTAATACGAAGCGCGGGATCTGTTCACGCCAGCGCGGGGGTGCCCGCCCACCGCCAGAGGGCCAACCTCCTTGGGCCCCGGGAAGGCGTTGGTCAGCGCGGGTCCTCGCTCAGAGCTTTTCTGCCTGTATCCAGGCAGCAGGTCCCCTCCAGCCCGGCCCCACCGCTGGGGAAAAATCAAGCGTTAGCTTGGCCTAGTGGCCCACGCCTAAGATCCCAGCACTCCCCAGGCTGAGGCAGGAGGACTGGAGTTTGAGCCATGGCCTGTTCTGGGCTACATGATGAGAGCCTGTCTCAAAGACTACACAGAGTCTTCCAGGAGACTCGGGGCACAGAGCAGCTAGCAGGGGAGACAGTCCGGTGTCCGTTGTCACAGGCTGAGCAAACTGGATGTAAAAACCCCTGCCAGAGCCGGGATCCCAGCTCGGCTGGCAGGGGCAGGGGTGACATACGAGTGAGTGGTGCACTTTGCTGCTGTTCCCCATCCTGCCCCGGCCAGTGACCCCCACGGGGCCGCCCAAGTTCTCCTGCCTGGAGGCTGGGCCAGGGACAAGGCCACTCCTTATGCCCAGTCAGGATGCCTGCTGTGCCAGTCCTTGGGAGGCTGAGGCAGGAGGATCGCTTCGTGTTTAAGGCTACTTGCCCAGGCCCTGTCTCCAAAAAACCAACCCAAACCAGCCTACCCAGAAACGAGTATTTCCTTGCTGTGCACACGCTGCCTCAGCAGGTTCTGCCTCCTGCTGGCTGTGCCAGGATCCCTGGTTCTGTGTGCTCTACAGGAATGGTCCTGGGGCATCCTGGAAGCCACCCCTCACCCATCTCCAGTGGTGCCAGCTCCCCCTGCAGCACTGAGTTTGGAGCCCTTTCAATGTTACAGTCTAAGACTGGCTCCTGCCAGATTCCCCAGGCTGGTCTGGAACTCACAGTCTTGCTGCTTCAGCCTCCCAAGTGGCCACAACCTGATTCCCTGCTCCTCGATTTCCACGTTTGGCCAAAGAAGATTTTCTTTCTCTAAAAGTCCTTAAGCCAAGTGCAGTTGCCCACAGGCATCATCCCTGCTCCAGGGAGGCAGAGGCAGGAGGGTCACAGTTCAGCCTGGGCAATTTAGTAATTTATTTACTTGTATTTTTTTGAGACAGGGTCTGGTTTGTAGCCCGGGCTGGCCTTGACCTCACAGTGATCTTCCTGCCTCAGCCTCCTCAGTGCTAGAGTCACAGACGTGTGCCACCACTGAGGGTGAGCACTGTCTCACAATAAAAAGTAAAAGAGCTGGGAACGTAGTTTTCTGTGAAGGCTCATGGTTCCCCTCCCAGTAGTGAAACACTGAGATTATAACTCAGATCTCTACAGATCAACATTTTAGGATTTCAGGTATAAAACAGAAAAGGAAAAAGAAACCATGACCCCTCATGCTGCTAGCCTTGGGCTTATTTAAACCATTCTGCTAGTGCTGGTGACCTTGACAGCCCAGGGTCCCAGGTAAGTAACCCCTGTGACTTGACAGGCAGGGTATGGTGACCTCCCGCCTGTAATCCCAGCCTCAGGGGAGACTGAGGCAGGAGAGTCACAGAGTTCAAGGCCAGCCTGGATTACACTGGGATCTTGTTTGGAGGAAAAAGACAAAATGGTAGAATTCATGCGCCATGAATTGGTGTAATGTGGGGGTCTTTCCTCCTGCCTGTGCGCTGGGGTGACAAGATGCCCCCCACCCCAGCTGCAGCGGCTTCCAGTCAGGCTGCTAATCGCCATAGTGAGGCGCAAACTCGGCCTTTCGTGCAGCGTCTGGGGTGGAACCTGGGCCTCCTGTACCTGATCAAGCGCTCACCCAGGCGGGACTTGAACTCAAAGCAGCCCCCCCCACCCCTGGTCCCCCTGCCTGAGCCTCCTGAGCAGCTGAGGTGATATCAGCACCCTGAAGCCCCTGGTGACTCTGCATCTTTATGATGAAGAACCCCACAGTCCAGACACCCCACGCACACCACCATACCTCAGGGAAGGACAAGGGCCCTCGGGTGGTCGCCTGTTCCATCCTACCTCAGCCTCCTAGGGACAGCACAGCACAGGTCCTGCCCTGCCTGCAGCAGACTCTGTGGCCACGGTGCCCATGCGGAACAGGGCCGGCTCACCCGAGCAGCACCCCAGCTCCGTGCCACAGTGCTTTGCTTTTTAATCCACGCATTGCGTTGGGGGCCCTGGGTTCCATCCCAGACCTGACTGAACACAGTGCATCAATGGGTGGCCCCATGATCTGTGCCAGGCTCCCATAGTCCCAGCCTCACAGGAGGCTTAGGTGGGTGGATCTGCAATCCAGGGAACTGGGCAGGAGCCTGGCTGTACAGTGAGACGCAGCCTTGGAGGAGTCAGTTGCACAGTCAGATGTCAGCTAAGGGCATGGGAAGGGAACGCTCTGAAGTCAGGCTATAATCTCCCAGGCAATGGGCTGCAGACCTGGGGGAGCCCAGAGCTTGACAGGGTGGGGGGGGGCACAACGGGATGCAGAGCGAAGAAACTACTCTCCTTCCTACACTCAGGGCTCCCCACCTTGGCCTCCGAGTAGCCAGGGCGTGCTGTGGAGCCTGGCTTGGGACCCCTAGAGGCCAGCTGGGTTGCTAGGTGGGTGCAGCCTCCATGTCTCTGGGTACAGGGACCCTGCTGGTCCCTGCCAGCCCATCTGAGGGACACAGGGCAGGGAGCAGATGCCCAGGCCCCCATCGCCTCCCGAGATGAGCAGGGCTTTTTGTGGCACCCTCGATGACTCAGATGTTACCATGCCTGGTGGTGGAAGTGCAGCCCTTGTCCCCGCACCTGCTCAGGCATTGCTGCTAAGGGCACCTGCACCGTGGATGGCCTCAGGGACCCCATGACACTTTGCTAGCCACAGGCCCAGGCATCTGTCCCTCCGCAGCTGCCCTGGACAGGCAGGCAGTACCTTCAGGGAGCCTGTGTCCCCCAGGTACCAGGCGGGCGCTCACCTGAGCCGTGCCCAGCCCATGGTGCTCAACATCTCCAGACAGGGTCTCCTGGGCTGCCTAGGCTGCCCAAGCCTGCAACCCTCCTGCCTCAGTCTTATTGCCTCCTGCTACTCTCTTCCCTCTGGGCAGCAGAGGCACTCAGTCACCTCCGAGCTTTCCTACAGCTGCTCCTGGGATGTGTTTAGGCTGGGCCACAGGAGACCGGGACAAATGCGGGGCCTGACTGGACTCTACTGAAGGTGGAGGGGCGGCGCTGCATCTGCTGCTGGCCATGTCCTGGCCCCCTGGGCTGGGCAGGGAGCTGTGGGCCACCCTCAGACTGACTGCACCTGTTGCCTTCTGTACAGCCTGTGCTGGCTTCCAGTGACCCTGAAATGGGGCCACTGCCTGGGTCCCCAGCCCCCAGCCATCGCCTCCATTTTGTAGAAGAGGAAACTGAGGTCCACAATGTGGCCAATGTGCCGAGCCGAGGCCCCAGTGTGAATCTGAAGGCTCCAAGTTCTCAGAGAGGTGCCTGCCTCAGCTTCCCAGCACTGATCAGTGAAGAGGGAATGTGGGGCCCCCTCAGCAATGCCTGGGGAGACAGGTGGGAGGTGAGTTCTGGACGCAGCACCACAAGGAAAAAAATGAGCTCCACAACGCCACCCCAGGTCTGCAACTCAGTAGCCACAGGCAAGTGCCTAAGCGGACAGCTGTTCCCCCAGGTGCTGCCATATCATCCTCGTCAATGGACAGGAGAGGCCACACAGCTGTGTGCAGCCACCCTGTGGAATATTACTCAGCCATGAAAAGGAAGGGATTCTAACACTGGCCATGGTGTGGGCAGAGCTTGGAGATGTTCACTTGGGGAAACTGAGCCAGGTGTGGGGGGTGGAGACTGCAGAGTTCTGCCATAAGCATGCCTTGGAGGGTCAGGAAGTTGGGGGCAGGACTGGGCCAGGAACTATGTGGGGGTGGCAGCTGTGGCAGCGTAGGATGGTACCTGTCTGTCCAACTGTCCACCTGTGGGGCACAGTAACCCTGCTGCAAGATGCTGGGTGCCTGTCTACCCACAGCCTGGTGGAACTAAGGTCTGGAGGGCAGGGCTGCAGGGTAGGAGCCAGGGTCACCCCATCCTGGGTCAGGAGTGTAGGAGGCATGGCCAGGCTGGTGGACCTGGCTTGGAGTCCTGGCCTGGCCCCCAGCCCTCCGAGCTGGCCTCTCCTGTGGTCTTGGGGTGATGACGGTCCCAGCTGGTTGTCAGGCTGGGGAGAGCCTAGGGGCTGAGGGCGTGGGCAGGAGACAGGGACACAGGGATGCCAGGGCTGGAGGAAGCCCCACTCAGGCAGCTCAAGGGAAATGAGATTCCAGGGTACTGGCAGCCAGCACTTTGGAAGGCTGAGGCAAGAGAATTCAGTTTCAGCTCAGCCTGGGTAATTTAGTGACCCTGTCTCGAATGCTAGAGAAACGGGGTGGGAGGGCTCAAACCCAGAGCTGGAGAAACAGCACAGGTTGAGCCCTGGGTTTTGCCTCCGCCCCACCACACTCCCCTCCTAGTTTGGGGGCCCTGGTTCCCAGAGACAGTGGGGACCCAGGGCCATTTGGCTGTCCTGATGGGGGTGGTGCTGCTGGACAGTGGGGAAAGATGGACACCCCAAGCAATGGCACAAAGCTGGGGCACTCTGGCTGAGGCTCTGGGTCAGGTACTCCTGGGGTACTGCCTGGGGAGAAGGCTGAGTGAGGACAGTCTCTAGGCACCTCGCCCCTAGCATGCCCTATTCTGCCCAGTGTGTACAGGCAGAGGAAGCACCTGCAGAGACAGATCCTACATCTGTCATTACTGCACTTTAACAGCAAAACCCTCCAACCCTGTACCACTCAAGTATAGCCCCCAGAGTCCCCAGACCCTCTTGAACACTGGAACTGCTCCCCAGACCCCCCTTGAACACTGAAACTACAAGGGTGCTCAGGGACCTCTGAAAAATGTCACCCAGACATGAACTCCACCCTCCATCCCTGAGCAACAGCCCCTGGCCTATCCCATGTGGAATATTGTGGAGCCCTGAACACAGCCACAAAATCCATTGCAGGGAAGAGTTATTGAAAATGTGTGTCACTTGGGAAAACAAAGTAGTGCTAATCATGGCACAGGAGAGCATCTTGGCCACAAACCATACCCCAAGAACCCCAGAGCAAGAGTCGGACGGGGACAGGCAGAAGACACAAGGTGAATGTCGTGCTCGTTTTCCTGGTGGCCTTGGCCACCAGCGCCTGCCAGCAAGGGAGTGAGGTGCCCAGGGCTGGGAATCACCACTCCTGGGCTCCTAGGTAGGTGGCAGATGCCAACCCAGTGGCCTCGGTGCACTGTGGTCAGCCCGTCACTGACCTCGGATGTTTGAAGAAATTTTTCTTGAATAAGAGAAGCTAAGCATGGTAGTGGCCCATGCCTGTCACCCCAGCATTCGGGAAGCGGACACAGGAGGATCACCAGTTCTAGGACAGCCTGGGCTACACAGCAAGACCTTGTCTCACAAGAAAAAAAAAAGCTCGTGAGAAGCATCTCTGCCTTCCAGCTGAGGCTGAGGAAAAGTGGGTGCCTGGTGATTCATTTAACATCTGGAAGGGAGAGTGGGGATGGAGCTCAGTGGCGGAGCTACATCAAGCATGAGGTCCCGAGTTCGATTTCCAGTGCCTCCAAAAAACTCAATCTCCTGAGGGAAGTTGGCTGTGGTGATGCACACCTATAGCCCTGGCTCACAGGAGGCTGAGGCAGGAGAATCCCTGAGAGCTCAAGGCCAGCCTGAATTGCAGTGAGGCCCCATCTGAAAAAACACCCAGAAAGCAAACGGATTTCTCTCCTCCAGTGTGCGGGCAACCCAGCAGGCTTTGAAACGCTGTGGCGTGTCTCTCGGGAGAAGGGTGACTGAGATGCGATCCAGCTGCGCTTTTCGGGGCTGGATTAGCACAGCACCCAGCTGTTCCGGCAAGACTGGAAGGGGAGGCCCCCTATGTCGCAAGGCGGCAGAGTTTCAACACGGGCTGCTTTCAGGCCATTTTCACTTTCTGAAAACAGCTTGTGCAACTGTGCGCGTCCACCAACGCCCGGTGCCCAGAGGGGAGGAGAGTGGGGGGCACCCAGGGAACCTGCAGCCATGTGGCTATGCGTCCACTCGTGCAGCTCAGTTCCCTTACAGCCTGGAGCTGACCCCACCCTAGTCCTCCTCCAAGGAGATGCAAATACTGTGTCCCCCAGAGTGTAGCTGAAGCCTCAGCCTTCCAGGAAGAGGGAGGATTTTCCAGCACAGCCACAGCCTCGGACACATCAGTGTGACCTGTATCCTGGGTTCTGGGGACAGACTTAAAATAACCCGCCTGCACCCCCAAGTGCAGCGTTTAAATTTACAGAAGCCAGAGTCCCCCAACATACCTCCCTGCCCCACGGCCCAACCCACTGGCACCACCAGTGCTGCGATTTTTTTTCCAAAGATGCAAAATTTTTAATTAAAAAAACAGCGAAGTCTCATAAAAAAAATCCAGCCAGGCGTTCCCAACGCCCACCTGTCCCTGTATTTACAGTAATACAATAACATCTGTCACAGTCGCTATGTACAATATCATATAAAACGGATCAGACAGTACGGACAAGGGCCGCTCACCGGCCCTCTAGTGTAGACCCGTCCCAGGAGACGACACGGAATTATTGCACCATTTTGAAAACAAAACTCGTCAAAAGAGGGTCGCGTCTGCTCCTGCGGGCCTCGGTCACAGATGGGGCTGGCTCTGCGGCGGCGTCGTCATCAGGGAAGGAAAAGGGGGACCCCTCTGCGGCCACGCAGCCCAACTCGGTCCTTAGGGTCCAATAAATACCAGTCATGGGGGGAGGAGGAACTGCCGCGGTCGCCGTCGCCGGGCCAGGCCGGGCTGCTACATGTGCCGCTTCATGTGTAGCGCCAGGTGGTCTGAGCGCGAGAAGGCGCGGTCACACAGGTGGCACTGGAACGGCCGGTGGCCCGTGTGCTTGCGGTAGTGGCGCGTGAGCTCGTCGGAACGCGCGAACTTCCAGCCGCAGCCATCCCAGTTGCAGTGGTAAGGCTTCTCGCCTGCGGGGGGTCGGCGGGTGAGCGGGGCGGCTGGGGTCCCCGCTGTACCCCACCTTGCTCCCCCTGTACCTCCCCACTCCCCCTGCACCCCGGCTCCCCACCTGTGTGTGTGCGCAGGTGCGCCTTCAGGTGCGAGCTCTTGGTGTAGGTCTTGCCGCAGCCCGCGTAGCTGCAGGTGTGCGTGGCGCTGCGTTTGCGGGGCCAGGCCCGGCGGCCGCGCTTGGGCTTCGCATCCAACAGCTCGAGCGGCGACGCGGGCGGCGTGAGCGGGGCGCGGGGCCCGGAACCCAGGCGTAGTGCGGCGGCTGCATCCTCGAAGCGCGCGAAGCCGGCGGGTGCGGGCGGGAAGCGCAGCCCGGGATGCGCGGGGGGCGCGGGGAAGCCCGGCGCGGCGAAGGGCGGCGGCGCAAAGGGGACCCCGGCGGGGCTGAGCGGCGGCGACTCGGGCGCGCCCAGCATCGGGCCGGGGGTGCGGCCGTAGGCGCCGGGGTCGCCGTCGGGGGGCTCGGCCTTGACGCGCGCGGGCCCCGGGGTACAGCCGGGCGCCGCCAGCAGCTCGGGCGCCAGCAACGGGGCCGGAGCCGGGGCCGGGGCCGGGTCGGCGCCCATGGAGAGGATGAAGTCCAGCACGCTGTTCAGGTCGTCGTCGGGGGCGTCGGGCTCGGGGCGCGGCCAGCGCTGGGGACGCGAGGGGTACGGGGTGAGCGCGGTCCGACCCCTGGCGCCCCGGGCTCCCCGCTCCCCCGCACCCCGCCACCCCGGTCCCCGGGTCCCCGCTGACCTCTTGCGGGGCGCCCGCGCAGGCGAAGGTGGCGAAGGTGGCGAAGGCCGGCAGCACGGGTTCGCCGAGCGCCATGGCGGGCGGCGGGCGGCGGGCGGGAGGCCGAGGCGGGCGGGTCCCCGCTTATAGGCCCGCGGCGGGCGGAAGCGCGTCGGGAGGGGCCGGACCCGTGGCCTAAATTTAGCCGCGGTATAAAAGCGGCATCGCCGCCTCCTCGCGGCGCCCAGCGACAGCGCAGCGCGGGGACCGGGACGGGGATTGGGACCGTGGCCGGGACGGGCAGGGGGACCCGGGGACCCCAGCACCGCGGAGCCCCGCAGTGACACGGAGGCTACGGCGGCGTCCGAATCCGCAGCCGCCCGGATCCCTGCAAAACGAAACGAAACAAAGCAAAACAAAAAGAAAAAAAGAAAGAAAGAAGTTAACCTGAGGCTCCGTTCGCGGTACCAGTGCTGCGGGAGGCCGAGACAGAAGGGTCGAAAGTTCAAGCCCGGCCTGAGACACTTAGTGGTGTAGGGATCCCCGGTCCCCAAAGAAAAATATAAAAAGCTCAGGGGTGCAGCCTAGCGCTCTGTGTTAGCCCCCAGAGCCACAGGACACGGCCGAGGACACCAGAGACCCTGTATGGCCAGCGAGTTAGCTCCCTAGGGCTCCCCGGACCTCTGCTCCTGGAAACCCAAGCAGGGGCGCCCAGGAAAAGCTGGGGTCCCGCGGGCACAATGAGAGTCACTGTGCTGAGGGTCCCTTGCCCCCCACCACAGCGCTGTCACCCCATCCCAACATGCAGTCTGTCCTGGCGACAGGGCTTGGAGACAGCAAGGGGGCTCTAGCCCTGTCCAGGGGAGCTGGGAGGGTGTTGGAGGGTGAGCAGCACCATGCAGCCCAGGGTGACCTGGAGCTCACAGCTCTGTTCCTTCGCTGGCATCACCGCAGGTCAGGCGCAGGTAACAAGCAGTTGCATGGGGTCCCGGAGCCTCCTGCAGCCTTTGAAGCATGCAGATTATTTCCTCAGAGCTGTAACCCCGCCCTCCTCCATTTTAGTCCTAGTCTTTGTCCTCATCTTCACCTTTGTCTTCGTCTTCTTCGTTGGCTTCTTCTTCTTCTTCGTTGTCTTCTTCTTGTCTTTTTTTGTCTTGTTGAGACAGGGTCTCACTATGCAGTTCAGGCTGGCCTGGAACTCACAATGATCCTCCTGCTTCAGCCTCCCACGTGCTGGGATTACAAGCATGTGCCACCATACCTTGCTTGGCCCTTATTTTTATTTATTTTTGTTGTTGTTGTTTTGAGACAGGGTTTTATTGTGTAGCTCAGGTTTGGCCTTGAACTCACAGCGATCCTCCTGCCTTAGCCTCTTGGGTGCTGGAGTTACAGATGTGCACAGTCACGCCCAGCTCTCCAACCTTTTAAAAACTTTTTAAAAGTTCAAAGCTGGGCATGGTAGTGAAGCCAGGGGTGGTGGAGCACGCTTGTAATCCCACATTTGGGAGGCTGAGGCAGGAGGATCACTGAGAGTTCAAAGCCAGCCTAGGCTACATTGTGAGTTCAAGTTCAGCCTGACCCATATAATGAAACCCTGCCTCAAAAAAGACCAAAAAATAAATAAATAAAGTTCATGAGTGTGTGTGTGTACACAACAACCACGTTTGTTGTGGTGCATTGGCACATCTTTTCATTTTAAGACAGGCTCTCACTAAGTTGTTAGGTTGCCCAGTTAACTTTTTTTTTTTGTCTTCTTCCTTTTTTTTATCGGTACCGGGGATGGAACTCACGACTGACTGTTTGCAAGGCAGGCACTTATGCCGCTGAGCTAAATCCCCTGCCCAGTTAGCTCTCAACTTCCAATCCTCCAGCCTCAGCTTCCTGAGTGCTGGGATGACAGGCATGCACCACCACACCCAGCTCTGCAAAAGAAAGACAAACCACAGCCTGGGAGACCTCACTCAAAAGATGCATCTGATAAGCAGCTGGACTCCTTAAACAGATAAAGAACTATCCACACTGATAATGGCCCAGGCTGACCTTGAATTCACCAAGACCCTCAGGCCTCAATTTCACTAGTGCTGGGATCACAGGTGTCCGCTATAGCGCCTGGAGGCTTCTGTAGGTAGTGGTTCAGGGCCTGGAACCTGGGGCCCCTGAGGCCATTGCTCACCATTGAGCTGCACCCCAGGCCTTTTGAGACAGCGGACCCTCAGGCTGTGAAGCTGGCCTCAAATTTGGAATCCTCCTGCCTCAGCCTCCCCAGTGTCTGGCATCAGGGTGCCTCTGGGTGGTGGCTGCAGCTGCTCCAAGCTTGGTGCCCATGATGGGATTGGGGACTGTGTGGGGCAGGGGCCTGTGGAGCGATGTGATGGGCACACAGGTGGCCACTGTGCTAGTCCGGTGACCACTGGACCTGTGGCACACCAGCACTTCCTCCCTTGTCTCCTGCCAGGCTGTCGTCATTTCAGAAGTATTCAGTCTCAGGCCAAGGACGATGGCATAAGCAGCTGCCCGGCAAGCTCAAGGTCCTGAGTTCAATCCCCCACTATGAAAAAAAAAAAGAAAGAAAGCAGAAATGTTCAGTCTGAGACAATCACGGGCGCCTGGGAGCTGAGGCAGGAGGATCACGCTGTATTCGAGGCCAGGCTGGCCTCCATAATGAAACCTTGTCTCCAACAAAACAAAGCAAGGAAACCAAAGAACTGTGTAGCTGGAAATGAATGTAAAGGTGTCAGTCACAGACCTCGCTTGCTGCCTGGGAGGCTGAGGCGGGAGGGCGAAACGTTCAGGGCCAATCCAGGCCAGGCAGCAAGACCCTGCCTGGCAAAATTAAAGAATAAAAAGCCAAAACAAAGCGACCGCGTGACCCCTGCCCCCGCGCGGTCCCGGGGACTCGGGATCCCGGTCCCGTGGGCGCCCGCCCAGCCTGGCAGGTTGCGTCAGCACAGAAAACCCAGATGCCCGGTTTCCCCAGCCTAGGATTTTCCAGGTCGCCCGGAGCCCGGTCGCGGGCTGTTTTCGGGTCTCCGTGGGAACCGGGCTGGAGCCAGGAAAATAAATGCGATTGAGGGCGGAGGCGGAGGGTGGGGCGGGAGGCCCCGGAGTCACCGGCCGCCCTCTCCGCGCTCTCGGCCACCGGCTGGGGTTTTTTGGAGCCAGAGTCGCGCGTGCAGCCCGGGCCGGCCCGGATGAGGGGACTCTCCTGCCTCAGCCCCCCGAGTGCCGAGTGCCGGGACCCCAGACATACTCTGAAACTCTCCCTGGGTTGTCAGCCGCAGGATCAGGCACAGCGGGGCCCTCCCCGCCCCCAGCACCGAGGGGACCTCCCAGGCCACCCCCGCAGGGCCGCCCAGCACCCCCTCCTCCTGCCCAGGGCTGCGGCCTGCCGCATGCAGGGCTATGCGTATCCCCAGGCACTGAAATAGCCGGTGTTTATTGCAGACCTGAGCTGAACAACCAGGTTTTCTTAAAGATGCTAAAAAAAAAAAAAACTTTTCCACGAAGAGGGCGGTTTTTGAAAATCTGTGTAAGAGGGCGCCTCCCCTCCCCCACTCTCTTCCCCCATTTCCCTCTTCTTTCCTCCCCCTCCCCCTCCCCTCTCCCCCCATGGAGGTGAGGCTTCAAAGCCACAGTGGCCAGGGCTGAGTCTGGGGTCACTGCGGTGGGGGGAAGGCGGGACCTGAACCCACTCCTGTTCCAGTAAGTAGCTCGAAGATTCCTTCCTCCTCGCTACTCCTGGAGGCAGGACACCCCACCCCCTTGCAGTGGAAGAGGGAAACCAGGGCACGGCCCATCCTTAGCTGAGCTCTGATGGTCTTGGTTTTGTTTTGCTTTTGTGTTCTGAGACACCGTCTCACTATGTAGCCCAGGCTGCCCTGGAAATCCAGGTGATCCTCCTGCCTCTGCCTTCTGAATCCTGGGATCACAGGCGTGTGCTGCCACACCAGGCCTGAGCCCTGGTTTAAATTCTGGGAATTTGTGATCTCTGCTCTGGACCCATTCTCGTGTCCCTGAATGAGTTGTGTGGAGGTCCCCGACCCACAAACCAGAGGCAAAACCTCCCTACAGAGATAACTGATAACTAGGGGCCTCGGAAAGAGCTGAGCTGTGCATGCAAATAGAGCCACAACCAGGCTCCTGCAACAGACTGCAACCCTGTGCGGCTAAAACCAGAGTTAGAGCCCGGTAGGGTGGTGCTCCCTGTGGTCCCAGCACTAGGAGGCTGAGCCAGGAGGATTGCTGGGTGTCCATGGCCAGCGGGGCTACAGAGTGAGACCCTGCCTCAAAAAGACTGAAAGAGAAACAAGACACATGAGAATCAGAAGAGGCTTTGTGGGCAATGACACGTGTCTGAATCTCACACCCTGCCTGGCACCGAGGACCCTGGAAAGACAGGGCTTTCTCTGGCTTCTGACCCTGGGCTCCCTAGAGGAGTGGGTGGCTTCCATGGTCTCTTGCATCTGACCCTGGGGACCTCAGCACTGGCATGTCCTCCCCTAGCCATGACACCGGCTGTCCTCAGGCTAAGATTGCCTGATTTAGCAAGGAAAACATAAGGCACCCAATTAAGTCTGAGTTTCAGGTAATGATGTCATGTCCAGCTTTGTAGGAGAGGGGACACACACCTCCCTGTTGGGGAAAGAGTGAGCCGGGTATAGTGGTGCGTACCTGAGGGCCCAACTGCCTGGGAGGCTGAGACAGGAGGACTGCTTGAACCCAAGACTGCATAGGCAGCCTGCCCTGCCTCAAGAAACAAAAACAAAAACGTTAATAGTTTTTTTTCTTTTTTGGGGGGTCTTTTTGAGACGAGACAAGGTTTCAGTGTGTAGTTCAGGCTGACTTTGAACTCACTGTGTAGCTCAGACTGGGCTGAACCCACAGTGACCCTCCTGCCTCAGCCTCCCAAGTGCTGAGATGACAGGCCTGTGCCACTTTTGTTTGGCGTCTGAGTCTCACTGTGTCCAGCCTCAAACTCCTAGGTTCGAGCCAAACTCCTGCTTCAGCCTCCCGAGTAGCTGGAAATTCCGGGTGTGTGGCACCCAGCATTTGAATTCCAAGGAAATAAAGAGAGATTTCTAAAGCCGGGCGTGGTGGCTCATGCCTGAAATCCCAGCACTGGGGAGGCTGAGGCAGGAGGATTGTTGTGAGTTTGAAACCAGCCTGGGCTACAA